GCCCCCCCGCAAGGAGGCAGACCATGGAGTTCCCTGAAGAACAACCCCCCAACTCCTCAGAAGGTGACTCCACAGAAATGCTTTCAACAGCAGAAACAATGACCTTCCAAGGTCCACCACTTCCTGAGGCTCATGGGGATGAGGTAGCCTGTGACCAGGGTGCCGAAAATGTCGCCAACGGCCAAAGCACCCAAACCCCTGCCGACCATGGCGCCCAAACTGCTGAGGAAGATGGCACCCAAGCTACTGACGACGGCGGCACCCAAGCTACTGACGACGGCGGCACCCAAGCTACTGACCACAGCGGCACCCAAGGCGCTGAGGAAGATGGCGTCCAAGCCGACAAGGAAGATGGCGTCCAAGAGGCTGCCGACGACGGTGCCCAAGCGGCTGCCGAGAACGGCGTCCAAGTGGCCGCCGACGAGGGCGTCCAAGTAGCCTCTGACGAGGGCGCCCAAGAGGGCGACGACGACGACGACGACGACGACGACGACGACGACGACGACGACGGCGCCCTAGCCGCTGCCGAGGACTGCTTCCTAGCCGCTGCCGACGACGGCTTCCTAGCCGCTGCCCTCGACGGTGCCCAAGCCGCTGCCGACGACGGCACCCAAGCCGCTGCCGACCATGGGGCTCAAGCCGTTGACCAAGCTCCTCTGGAAAAGTTAGAAGATAAAGGTAAATGGTTTTAAGCTGTTTTTGTTTGTTTATTTTCACTGGGGAAGAATCTGCTTTGGGAGAAGTGGGGACCGCCCCACGCGGGAGACCGAAATGGCGCCCCTTGGGCCCCTCCTCAGTAGTTGGGCAGGAGTGACTAATCGTGTCACACGGGATAGCGTGCAGATTTGAATTCTGGGACGGTTATTTCATTCAGAACTTCTACTTTACTTTCCCCGCGGCGGCACCTTAGTGAGCAGGTAAGGTCCCCTGGCCGGGGGACACAGCCGGCCCACTGAACAGATTGGCGGGGCATCCAGTGGTGGCCCACCTTTTACGGAGGCCGCGGCCCCTGGTGCCTGTGATATACAGCGTGGTGCGCGGTAAACGCAGGGGGTAACACTCCTGGGACAGGAAACACTGGGTGGCACACCCAAGGTGGCCGGGGCGTCAAAGAAGGGTGCTGAAGTCGGGCTCTGCCTGTGTGTACAGGGCCCATCCCCTCCTCCTCTGCACCTTCCCAGCGTTCCCAGCGACCCGCCTTCCCGCTCTCACGCGGTGTGCCAGCCTGACCTGGAGGCCTTTGTCTGGCCGCTATTCTTTGTGAAGCAGCCGTGCGACTCCCCTGTCAGGTGCAGTTTGGTCCACGTGGAGGCCTGGGATACGGCGAGGCAGAGGCTGCCTGGTGCGTGTCCATCACCCAGTGGGGGAGTCCCGTGGTGGGAGGGTTCCCAGGAACCTATCATGGCAGCCGAGCTGATCACCGTGCTTCTCTCACCAACCTGCTTGGATGGCGAGCCCGAAAGGTTGAGTTTCCGTGGCTCCTGGCTGTTCGGGATAACCTGAAATCAAACAAAACCTAGGAGCTAGAGACACCTCCTTTGGAGCCTTAGTGCCTCTGGGATAAGGACTGAGGCGTCATGGTCTCCAAACCAGCTCGGCCAGAACTTGAAAAAAAATACCAGTTTTGGCTGGTGCTGACTTGCCTGCGGGGAAACTTGCAGTCCAGCCCTCTCCAGCTGTAATGGAGTTGCAATTTGAATTCTGTTGAAGGGAGATGTAGGTGAGCTTGCTGGAAAACAATGTAGAGATCTTTTCTTAAGCTACATTAGTACATCCGGGCCTCCCTGGTGGCTCAGGGGTTAGGTCTCAGTGCTATCAAGCTATCATACAGCGGTGGTACTGCAGTCTGAGTTGGATCTCGGCCTGGGAGGTTACCCACATGGCAAAGTAGAGCCCTTCTGCACTGCTCCCCTTAGCAGTATATTTCATTAGATCTTCCTGTTCTGCTTCCCACTCTGTCTCTGGTGAAACCTTTCACCCCCACTCCTCTGGCCTACATCCTAGTTAATGCAGGCAGCAGAATTTTAAAAAGCATTGAAACTCATTTTATTCAGACTTGTCCACCTCTGAAATAATGTTTGCAATTCTTTGATAAGAAAAAAGTTGCCAAAATGCATTAAAATGAACAAAATGTCCTACTCAGTTTTGCTGAGAAATCTAAGTTACTGTTGTGATAAATTCTTACTTAGCAGCTAGTTCTTCAAATAATCTTTATTTCTGCTCCCTGCTGTGTTTGTTACCCTTTGTTCTAGTAGGCGATGTGCCTGGTCCCAAGATTAAATTTTTGTTTACTTCACTGTTTCTTCTTTGCCTTAAGTGTGTAAATTATGAAGCAGAAAAATAAGACTACCACATATAAACTGTCTTTTTCCCCCTCCCTCTTTTGTCCTGGTTATCTGCTTCTCCACTGCTGACCTCACTTGTGCTTATTGTACCTTTCTGGTGGTTTCTGAAATCAAACCAAAAGACTGAAATCACAGTCAGTGGATTATTTCACCGTCATCGGTTCAGACTCACATCACTTGGCTTGTTTTTTTTTTTAAGGCTCCAGTACTTTTAAGTGATATTCAGATTCGAGACTCAGAGCCCATTTCATGTTTTACAGAACAGTATTAGGAGTTGTCCTTTAAGTGGAGTTATTAATCTAACTACAGTTTTTTTTTAAAATAAGATTTATCTTACAACTCCTTAAATAACTTTTAGGGGTATCTTAAATAAATGGTTACTGAAGATTAAATGAAATATAGACCTAACATACTCAGTCTAGTGCCTGGCACATAGAATATACCGAGAGTAAATGTCAGTAGTTAGTTAAAGTGAATTATAAATTCTTTCTTATCACCCCTTCAGAAATGCATCTACCCAAGAAACTAAGTGTGTGCATCTAGATGGTCTAGCCATAAGAACTGGGCTGCAGACTTGTACCCAAGGTAGCTCAGAGCTGTTGATGTTGATTCTAAAGTCCTATGAAACCGTAATACATTAAGGTGAATGCAAGCTGGAAAGTTAAGCTTCTGTTCCCTCCAGTCTTCATACATTTCTGCTAATAGTTTCTGCATTGATTTTGCCTTTGGTTAGTACTCTTCTTTATAGAAGACCGTAGCTGGCCACCAGTATCCCCCACTGTATCCATTTATTATACCCCTTTACCTGAAAGTCTCACAAGTATAATTCTTCACCTGGAAATTTTAAGATTAACATTAAAAGACACAGGCGGGTCCTCCCAGGTGGCACAAGGGGTTAAGATGCAGCACTGTGAAGCAGTCCTCAGCCACTGCAGCACAAGTTTGATCCCGATCTTGCCAGGGAGGTGACACCCCCCCCCCCCCGCATCTCTAACCTGCACCTCAGCTCTTCTTTTAAAAAGAAGACAAAGGAACAGATAAAAGGAAACCAAAACATACCCTAGAATTCTGACTGTAGAATTGAGGCCACCAGAGGGGCAGGGTGCGTGGGGTGGGGAGCTGAGGGGAGAGGGGGCCTGGTGGTATGTGGTAGAGAACTATGTGGGTGCCTTGGTGGGGGCGTGTTGTGAGAACGTGTATATGAAGAAGTGTGAACCTATACCCTTATATAATATACAGTGTTGTAAAACCAGTGTTGCCTCAATAAAAACAATAGAATTAAAACAAAACCAAGCAAAACAATGGAGAGAGTAAAAAGATCAGTTTGCCAGGAGTTTGGAGGTATTTGAATAAATAAAACAGAGAATTGTTAGGAAAATGAAACGTTCCTGTCTGGTACTGTGGTGATGATCACATGACTTTATGCAATAGTCAAACCCATAAAAATAAAATGTACATCAGAAAGAGTGAACCTTAATATCTACTTTAATAATAATTTGTCAACACTGATTTATCGATTCTAACAAATGGACTGCACTAATATAAGTTAAAAGGGGAGGGGAGGAGAGTAACATGGGGACCCTGTACTCTGTTCATTTTTTTCCTTGTAAATCTAAAATGGTTCTAAAAGGTAAATTTTATTCATTTTTAAAGACTAAATTATGTTTATAACAGCTCTTGATTTGTTACATAATTTGGAAAATCTGCACATATTGGAAGGGAGATAAGGTGACTTTTGGGAATAATCAAGTTATGTCAATGTAGTTCAGATTTGTATTATGCCTATGCCTCATGGGCAAGATTTTCTGAATTTTAACGGTGTCATCAAAAATGGTCAGCAGAGGGAGCTAGAGGAATTTTTGGTAACTTTTGGTTTTTTTGTTTTCATGAACTCAAAAACAAGAGATGAATAAAAGCCAGGATCAACCTCCTCACGAACTTGAGAACCAGTTCATATTGCGCCTGCCTTTGGTAAGAAACCCTCATATCTCAGACCAAAGATCTTCAGTGCATTAGCACCAGTTCGTCTTGGATTCTGTAACTTTTTTTTTTCTATTTAAGGTAGGCTGTAAAAACTGAGAACGCTTGCTTCCCAGGGATCGTGTTCTGTTAAGCGGTCCCTTCCTAATGTGTACTATTCTAGCAGTCTTTCTTTTTGGCCATACATACTGCCTGTCGTGTGGGTTAATTTCCTGACAAACAGCTGTGTCAGTGGTGGATTCAGTCACCACCACAGACACTAACAGCCGGCTCACTGGACAGCCAAAGTAAGATGCTTCTAAAATCCTTCCTATCACCTCAGAGGGGTTAGTGCTGTTTCATGTAAATTCATTACCTTGCGATGGCTGTTGAAGCTCGTCTCAATTTGTTCTTGGAATCTATTCCCCACTGATACCTGTGTTCAAGTATTATTTAGTCTAAGGGCGCTGTATTATACAGGGACTTCTGAAAGGTATTTCCCCAATTAGGGTTAATTAATATACCCGGTACACTGCGACTAAACCTTGCCTTAGCAACTTCCAAGGAAAGGGCAGCAGCAAGTAGGAGGATTATAGAGCACTCACCAGAACTGCTAAAAGATTGCATAAGATTGGAGTAAGTCTCAGCCTAACTTATACATGTAATGTGGTTACATGGCATTGCTTCTAACATTTGGGAAGTTTCAGGATTTATTTAGGGGGACGGTCTCTGACATATCTGTTTGATCAGTTGCCAAGTACAAAATTGATCATTCTGATTTTTCACTTTGTTTTCATTTTAGGAACATGCTTCTACTGTCAGAAAGATAGTACATTCTAGATGCCTCTCTGTGAAGGATAAATTGAAAATTGACTTATCTCGTAAGTACTTAATATCCATTTAGCATACATCAAGCACTGATTTATTAAGGATTGCTGTGTGCCAAGCACTATACTAGATACTATGGATGCGACAAAAAATCGAATGTGATCTTTGCCTAGATGGACTGTAAAGAGAGGCTTAAATCACTGCAAACCTCTTCATTTAACAGAAAGGAAGTATAAGGAAAAACTGGGGGGTCAGCTGTGGATTTGTATATTGTGGATTATCTTCTGTATGCACTTTTTGTAATTGCTGACCGTCAGGGGATGACAAATGAATATCTTGTTCTGTTTACAAGGGTGACCTATCTTTCTCTCTTCTAAATACTATTTATTAGATTCTTAAACTGAGAAAAGTATATAAAAAAATTAAATAGCCCATTAATTCACTAACCTTTATTAACATTTAAAAAAGCTAATACAAGTTCATGGTTAGAAAATTCAAATAAAACCAAAGTTTAGAAGAAGTGAGATTCTTTTTCACAGTGCCCCAACCTCAATGCCACATAGAATACTGTTTCTCCTTCTGTTTCCTTACAGACAAACTTTTATGATTAATACCAATGTTCAGATAATCTCTACACTTTTTTAAAAAATTATTTATTGTCAAAATTAAGAACATATATAGTTACTGTTCACTCAGAACTGCTTGCTTCCCTGACCATAATCTCTACACTTTTAAAGTTAATTCAACACAAAAGGGATTAGTCCAAACATGATTGGCCTCTTTCTTTTTTCATTTAGTATTAGAAGATTATACTTGAATCCTCTTATAGCAAAAGACATTCATCTGGGCAGGATTCAGAGTCTATGACTGTATATTGATACCTGTATATAGGTGTGTATACAGTCAATACAGGGTTATTGTGTAGAAGTTTATCTTTGTGTAGTTAACTAAATTTATAATTGGAGAAATACTGTCACCATTCTAGAATCAACCCTTCCCTCATCCAGCCATTTGAAAACACATGCAAAGATATAATTTAAATGCTTCCAGTAGTGTCAAAATGAATGGGTTTGAGCAAATGGAACTTGCCTTTCAGTATAAGAATGAAGCATTTACTGCTTCACCTACATTTGGTTCATAGCCATTACCAAGAAAACTTAGCCACTTTGATTCGGTGACACAGCTGAGAAATAAGAACTCCATCTACTCTTCTGTGGGAAGTTACTAATTGTAGTATGCAGTTCTAGCATTATGAGAACTACTAGATTTCATGGAAGACTAGTCTATTCTACATAAATTATCATTATTCAAACACTAGGAAGCTTAGAGTACTGTACATTGGGAATATGTCAATTTTAACTTTTCCTACTTTCCTTCAGCTGGTAGACGTCATGCAGTTGTAGAGGTAGAAGATGTTTCACTAGCTGCTAAGCTGGTCGATTTGCCTTGCGTTATTGGAAGCCTGAAAACTCTCGATAAAAAAACATTTTATAAAACAGCAAATATTTCGCAGGTATGAGCATGTTTTCTTTATCTATTAGCTCCATCATCCTTCAAGAAATTTCTCTCTCATTTCTTTCTTTCAGTGTTCCTTACCACTTGGTGAATGGCTGCTTTTCTAATTTCCAGTTCAGTCTCACAGGATTCGATTGTCATGTTCTGGTTTGGTGTTTTATCCATAACTTTTCATTAAGTTATTTTATCCAGATTTCTTTTAGAGCCCCTTGCTTGCCATTTATGATGGATTCTATTATTTGAAAATTACAAGCATCTGGGATCTTCTGAACTGTGTGCTAAAGCAATTTGCTGTTACCTCTGGAGATTTGCTGTGGATCTCACTCATCATCTCTACTGTTGATTTCTTGCTTCCTTTCTAAATCAAATGCTAAGATATATCTGTTTTCAACATATTTCCTCTACAGTGGTAAGCACTCAAGCTAAAAACAGAAAAACAAAAACAAAAACAAAAACAAAAAAAACAAAACCAAACCTCAGAGTCCATGTACAGTGCTGCTGGGGCAGACACTGAGAGAATGAATATCAGTGTATGTAATGGTTTTTTGGAAAAGCCAAGTAACATTCTTATTTCTCTGCTCCAGGATTTCTGGTGGTAAGAATGATCATGATTAATTACTAACCCAAGATTTAGGACCATAGTCAACTGCTTTGTCTTTGTTAAATGTAGATGCTTGTATGTACTGCTGATGATGGTTCCCAATCTTCAGAAGAATCATTTACCTCTCCTGATGTTAAAACAGACAGTAAAAGTGAAAAGGAGACACAGAAAGAATATGTCTGGAAGCATGGCAGTAAGTCATCAATGTCACCAGCCCCTGTTCATTGTGACTGACTACATTTATCTGCACATCCCTAATTACTTGTGGCCCAGGGATCTGTTAGCATACTTAGGTGTTTGGTTCACTAGGCATCCAGACACTTGAAGGAACTAGTCCTGTCATGAACCAGTGACTTATAGTATGGCCTTTCTCTTTATCAAATTCAGATAGCTATGTGACTACCATCAGTCATTTCACTATGTATTTTACTATGTTGAATTTATTTTAGTTACTCCACCACTTAAGAATGTCAGAAAGAGACGGTTCCGCAAAACAACCAAAAAGGTTAGTTGCATGCTATTTCTGTCTCCTGGGTGGACTGGAAGATAATTATGAGTGGGAGGGAAGAGGAGCCAGCCCACTGGGAATAAATTGTTCACCCCCATATATGTTCAGTAAACAGTTACTGAGTATGAGCTAAATGCCAGGCACTGTGTGCAAGCAATTGGGAAGTGAATAAAAGTGGCCTGATCATTGACTTATAGGCTAGTGATTTATGATTAGGGTGTGTCATGAATTTGAAACTTCTGCTAGGACTTTTAGTGTTCATTTGTAAGCTAGAACCAAAAGCTGAGAATTGGGCATTGTGGTTATATTCCTAACCTAACCTCAGACCTGTAGAACCTTGGACAAGCTACATGTGTACTGAGGCTTGCCATCCTTCTGTAATTGTGAAATAATTGCTGTTTCACATTCATTTGTAAGAAATAGAAGAGTGAAACTGTATAACCTTTACCTGTTTTTCCCGTTGTAACTTTCTGCAAAACTAGTACAATATCACAGTTGACATTATTATAACTCACCAGTGGTGTTTAGATTTCTCCAGTTTTATGTGTACTCTTGTGTGTTTATATGTGCATGTGTTTTAGTTCCATGCAGTTTTATCCCATATGTAAGTTCATTTAGCCACCTATATGGTTAGGCTGATAGTCGGATCACCGTGCAGAATCCCCATCTTGCCCTTTTGTAGTGAAATTCACCTCCTTCCCGAATCTCTAACCCCTAACAATCACTAGTATATTTTCTATTTCTATAATTTTGTCACTTTTAGAATATCACAGCAATGGAACCATCCAGTGCATGAGATTTGAACTGTCCTTTTTTTTTTTTTTTAAGTTTTATTTATTTGTGCATACAGAACAGGGGTATATTCCAGAGGCTCAGGGGTGGCGAGAGGCTTCACCAGAAACAGAGTGGGGAGCAGCACAGGCAGATCGACGAAGTACACTGCTGAGGGGAGCAGCGGGCGGGTCAGGAGAGGTCTGCCACGCCATGTGGTCATCTCCGGGGCAGGCGGGAATCGAACTCATGCAGAAGCTGCTTTTAGCTTCTTAGTGTGGTGCTTTAACCCGCTGTACCACCAGGGAGGGCCCTGAACTGTCCCTTTTATTTTTTTTTTTAAAGATTTATTTATTTTTTCATACAGAACTGGGGTACAGGCCAGAGATGCGGAGGGTGAGAGGATTCACCAGAGACAGAGTGGGGAGCAGCACAGGCAGATCGACGAAGTACACTGCTGAGGGGAGCAGCGGGCGGGTCAGGAGAGGTCTGCCACACCATGTGGTCACCTCCGGGGCAGGCGGGAATCGAACTCATGCGAAGTGGCTTTAGATTCTCAGTGCTGTGCTTTAACCCGCTGCGCCACCAGGGAGGGCCTGAACTGTCCTTTTTAAACCCCATTCAGCATAATACCCTGAAGACTCATCCAAGTTTTTGCACGTTTTTCAACAGTTGATTCCTTTTTACGGCTGGGTAGTATTCCATATTATCAATGTACCATAGTTAAACTGTCCACCATTGAAGGATATTGGATTGTTTCCAGCTCTTGTCTATTAAAAATGAAGCTCAGAGCAGATTTTTGTGTAAATATAAGTAGTCATTTATTTGGGAAAATACCCAGGAATGCAATTGTTGAGTCATAGGTAGTCACATGTTGTTTTGGAAAAATTTACCATACTGGTTTCTAGAATGGCTGCACCATTTTACATTCCACAGTGAATCTGTGATCAAGCTTCTTTACATCCTTATCAGCATTAAGTGTTGTCACTTTTTTTAGCCTTTCATTTAGATGTGTAGTGATCTCACTGTGGTCTTAATTTGCATTTCCCTGATGGCTAATGATGTTGACTATCTTCCATGTGCTTGTTTGCCATCTATGTACTCTCAAATTTAGTGACAGACATTCATGTCTTTTTGCCCATTTTCTAATATTTTTTAATTGTTGCATTTTGAAAGCTCTCTTTCTATCCCGAATACTATCCTTTTGTCAGATACATAGTTTAAATAGCTTCTCCCTGTCTTTTGCTTGTCTTTTCTGTGCAGGGTCTTTCTTTTTTTTCTGTACTGGTTTTTTTTTTAAATTAATTTATTTTTTTACACCATAAACAATTTGTTTTACATCATTCTTTATTTTGTGAATTACCCCACACCCCCGCTCAGTAATCCCCATGGATTTCCCATCACCAATTTACCCGTATGCCATCACCACATTCCAGTGCATTCTTCCCACCCAGTTCCCATCTCATCCCCCCCTCACGACGCACTTTAAATGTCTCTGGTTTGTAGTTGTTCATTGTTTTCATTTTTACTCTCTCACATTTGTTAGTCTCTCTTTTTTTTTCTTCCCTGATCCTTTCTGCTCCTGATATGAGTGAAACCATCTGATATTTTTCTTTCTCTTTCTGGGTTGTTTCACTAAGCATGATCCCTTCCAGCTCCATCTATGTTGCTGCAAAAGGCATGTGTTTATCTTTATTGATTGCTAAGTAATATTCCATTGTATATATGTACCACATCTTCTTAATCCAGTCATCTATTTTTGGGCATTTGGGTTGATTCCACAATTACCCTGTTGTAAATAGAGCAGCAATAAACATGGGGTGCAGGTATTCTTTTGAATCAGTGTTTTTGTGTCTTTTGGGTAGATCCTTAAGAGTGGGATTGCTGGGTCACATGGAAGCTCCATTTGTAGCAGTTTTGAGGAACCTCCCAACAGCTTTCCATAGTGTTTGGACCAGTTTGCATTCCCACCAACCAGTGTAGGAGAGTTTCTCGCCAACATCTGTTGTTGTGCAGGGTCTTTCAAAGAACACTTTTCTTTTGCTTGATGACATCGAATCCATTGGTTTTATTCCTCTTAAGGATCTTGTTTATTTGTGTCAGTTTATGAACTCTGCCTAGCTCAGATCCTGAAGATTTTCTCCTGTTTATTTTTTCTAAAAGTTTCACATTTTACATTGAAGCCTGCAGTCCGTTTTTAAGTTAATTTTTATATAAGGTGTGAGGCTTAGGTCAGCACTTACTTTTTGACTTCTGCACATCCAGTTGCTCTCTCACCATTTGTTTAAATGGCTGTCTTTGCCCCATTGTATTGCTTTTGCATTTTTCCCAAAAATCAGCAGGGCAGATTGTGTGGCTGTTTCTGGGCTCTCTCCTTTGGTCCACTAATCCGTATGTTGATTTGTCCACTGAGAATCGCAGTGTAGCTATCATTGATAACTTTTGAAATCAGGAAGACTGCACTTCAATTTTTCTTTGCCAAGGTTGTTTTAACCATCCTGGAGCCTGTACATTCCATATAAATTTTAGAGTCAGTTTGTCTCTTCATACAAAACCTTGCTGAACATATTGATAGCAATTGCATTAAACCTATGGATCAGTTTGGGGAAAATTAACAGTCTTACTCTCTTGCTTAATTTATGAACACAGTTGCATTGGCTTTTAAACTGTTAGTGAACAGGCTCTACTTAGTACCTACTAAGTGTAAAACTAAGACTAGTTCTAGAATTCTTTATACTTTGGTGAACTAGTATAATCTTCATATAACTTCACTGTTCGTTGTGTTTTATTCATAGACCAATGATACCAAACAAGTGGAAGAAACCAATTTTACTGAGGTAGAGCAATCATAATATAACTTTGTTATTATTTTAAAGTATTGTTTCTCATGAGCTCTTACACCTACTTCCAGTATCACACTGAATTTGATTAGCTGAAAAATGAACTCATTATTTAATGTCTGATAACTCTTACAGGAAAAGATATAATTTGGACAGTGACCTTGTGTATTTTAATCTGCTTTTCCACTGGTATTTATTTAAAACGTCCTTTCTTGGAAACCACCATTCACTTTTACCAGCAGTTGTTTGCAGTTGTTTATTCTCCCTCATAGTTCTAATTTCTATTTGTGGCATGACAAATTGGTTGCTGTGGAGATAATTGTCTAAAACTGGATTTAAGGGAGAACATGTAGCTAAGACCCAGTTTTTACAGGAAAACCTCTAATAACAAAGTTGTGGGGAAGTGAAATGTGAGAATTTGGATCTTTAAATTAAATTACTTCTAAATAACAAATAAAGTCTGATACTGTTCTTTGCCAGTAGGTGGTCAAAGCAAATAATAACTGAGTCCTAAGGGTTGTGCCTCTGAGAAATCTCTTTAATATGAGCTGCAGGTTGAAAAGATTGTTTCAAGCAGTTTATTTGCTTGGGGGGAAATACACTTATGTATAGAACTCTAGACCCTGGGTGAAGATTCTTGCATAAATAACATTACTTAAAGTAGACGTTTGGATTGATGGATATGTAAAGAAGTTAATTCTTTTAATTCATTTATATGTAGGAAAAGGGCATTCCTGCAAAACACAGCCTGTTCAGTGACAGCATTAATATTCCTCCTCTCCCCCCCTTGGCTGATTATGTTGACTCTCCTGATGTGGAGAAGGAAGTGAAAAGACTCCTGTATTCAGATGCTGAAGCTGTCAGTGCCCGTATCCTTTTATACCAAATATTTTCTCTTGTAATCTGTTCTATTTCATATGTACTTGCTGACAAACCCTCACTTCTGATATTTATGTGCAGTTTTAATGTGTAGAAATTAAGATTTCTGGAAAAGTTACTTTCTAGCTAGAAACAGTAACTTCACATAATAGAAACTTATGTGTGTCAGTCGACACAAGTGACCTGAAGTTGAGCCTCTTCCTTTTCAGCTTTATCACCTCCTTTCTCTCTGCCTTTTCCTTGACTACTTCATCTCTCAGGGTGGGAGGTCATTGGTGAAGATGAAACTAAGGAAATAGAAAGTCAAGGCTCCATTCGAGGCTTTGCTCTATCACGGGGAACAAGTGGCCATAAGCAGAAACATACCCCACCATCAGGTACATTTGTAAAGGCAAAGCAGGAGCTTCAGAGAGGGCATATGTTGTCTGCTTGGGAGAACCATTGTCCACAGACTCTCGGGCCAATCACAGCACAAGGGTGCTTTTGCTCTTCTTTCTTCTTCTTGGTCCTTCTATAGTTTAAGGCTTTTAGAGTGGTATTCTGATTGCCCATTCGTCCCTGGTGGGTGTTTGGAATGTCTTGATCATTGCATACCCGAATGGGTGTTACAGTGTTTTGTATTTCCTGCCTTTCTTTTGGTTTCTTCCTGCAAGAAAAATTATGACAGTAATTGGTTGCTGAATAAATATAAGGAGGAATATAACTGTTGGAGTGGATGTCATTGGAAAAGCTTCCAATAGTTTCACCTTCCTTTTTTTTCAAACCAATAGAATATAATATACTTCAGGAGATGTTCAGGGATTCTAGCAGTAATAGTAGTGATGAAGAGGATGAGGATGAGGATGAAGAGTATGTGTATGACTATGATGAAGAGGAAGACGAAAGTTATGAAGAAGATATGGAAAGGAAGCTACATGCTAAGCTCCTTGAAGCTCGCCAGTATGGGGGAAAGGAAATAGCTCGTTCATTAGGTGAGTGAGAGGAGACATCAAAGGGGCAGGCACGGTGCAGGTAGGGCAGTGCTGAAGATGAACTCTGAGCATGCAGTGAATGCAGGGCTACGTTTGAGAAGTTATTGTGGAGATGTGCAGTTGAGTTTTAGTTGATTTGGATCTTGACATGTTAATTTATGTTATGTTTTAATACAAAAAGTTTCTGTCTCTCTTAGTTGTGGAAATTCAGAAGCAGATTGGTTACCTGGAGAGAAAGCTCCAAAATATTCAGAGCAAAGCACAAAGGCAGAGGAATGTCATCAGGAAAGTGGAAAATCTGACACTCAAGGTAAATTCTTGTCGGCAGGTGTGAAAATACTTTGGTATTTCACTTTCAGGACCCCATCTTTAAGTTTCTACTCATTTACCGCCGTGCGGTATCCTTGTTCACCCTAATACAAGACAGCCCTATTTTCTGTTACCTGAATAATTTTGATCATCTCATATAAGCATTTTTGGGAAAGGACCGGGGAACTTGAAATAATAATTGCCAACATTAAGCTTTTACCATGTGAAACTAAGCATTTTATATGCATTATCTCATTTTATCCCTACATTTCTGAGATACTATTATTTCCTAGTTTTAGTAAATTATTTCCCACCCGTTCCCATTTTGTAAATAAGGAATTGAAATTTAAAGAGGCTAAGTAACTTGCCAAAGACCATAGTAAGTGGTGAGACATAGATGGAGACCTATCGTTTTATATCAAAATGAATTCACTGTGGTGAAAGAAAATTAACTAAATTCATTTAAAATGCTTATTTAAGTGATTGATGCCTGACAAGGATACCTATGTTGTTTTATTTTATCATTACACATGATTATTTTATAAATATACATGTCAACAAAAGGGAAATACATGTTTAGGCCATGTTTGCTTTCCTTTTTGGAGTGAGGAAAATTCCAAAGCCTCTGAAGAATTCTTTGCCACGTTTCATTTTCTGTAAAGCTGTTGTGACCCAAGGTGAGCAACATGGCATGTGACTGTTGTCCTTTAGAATGACCAGATGAGACAATGGATGGGTACATACTTTGAGAGACAACTTTTTAAAATAGTTTACCACAGTCAAAGGATTGTGCTAAATGAGGTAACAGGAAGGCATTCCAAGTATTTATTTTAGGGCAAGAAAAAAAAATGTCGTTTTGGGCAAATCAAATCAAATCTTATGGCCCTGTCACTAGGGGGTGCAGTTTTTATACTATAAATCCTTCTAAAAGAATGCTCTTTTTTGGGATGACTGATAGTTTTTCTGATCAAATTATTTGCCAAAGTCTTGTCAGCCTAACCTGGGTACTCCTTTCCTTCGAGACTCTGTTCTCATCATTTATACAATTTGTCTTCCAGAATCATATAAGGAATGTGCTGGAGCAGCTGAAATTACAGGAAAAGCACAAAAGTGAACAGGTGAGAAGTGTATTTTCAAATCAACACAAAATGTTTGAGACAGAGTCCCTACCCCCGCTCCTGATCTCATTTTGGGCTGTTCCTTTCAGAGGAATAGTAGTAGCCAGATCTTCTAAATGAGGGTAGCAAGTTGGAACAAGGTCTTCGTGAAAATTCACTCACTCGTTACTGGTGCCTATTAAGTGAAAAATACTGGACGTGTATACAGTGTTGAATAAGACAGATGCATTAATCGTCCTCATGAAGCTAACAGTTTAGCAGAGATTGATAGTGAAAAATCATCATATCATTGTGAAGAAGTGGTGTGACAGAAAAAGGTTAATGGCGCTGTTTAGATAAAGAAGAGTCCTGAATTAAATTGCTAGGGTTGGGGGCGGGGGGTGTCACACTAGGTTTCTCTGGACTGACATTTAAGGTGAGACCTGAAAGATAATTCCAGGCAAAGAAGGGAGGAAGAGCCACCTGGATGGAGCATATGAGAAAGAACTTGACCTCTTTGGAGACCGCTGGAATACTTAAAGCAAGGAAGAGAGTGACATAACATCAGGTCAGAGAAGTAGACAGAGGCCATATTGTAGGGTCCCTTGTAGGCTGTAGTAAGGAGGATGGTGTTAGTCTTGAGTGCAATGGGAAGCCCTGGGAGAGTTTTTAGCAGGAGAACTGCATTTAATTTAAACTTTAAAAAGATCACTCTGGGGCCCTCCCTGGTGGCGCAGCAGGTTAAAGCACAACACTCAGAAACTAAAGCCACTTTAACATGAGCTCAATCCCTGCCCCAGAGGTGATCCACATGGCGCGGCAGACCTCTCCTGTCTCACCCGCTGCTCCCCTCAGCAGTGTACTTCGTCAGTCGGCCTGTTCTGCTCCCCACTCTGTCTCTGGTGAATCTTCTCACCGCCCCTGCACCTCTAGCCTGTACCCCAGTTCTGTATGCATAAATAAAATAAATCTTAAAAAAATTACTCTGATTATCTGGAGAATGGATTGTAGAAGGGCAGGCCTAGAGAGCCAGTTAGGCGGCTGGGTGGTAATTTAATAAGAGATGGTGATAACTTGGACTAATGAGGTAGCAATGGGATAGAAAGAATATATATATTTTAACTCTGATATGTAGTTAATGTCTTTATAACAGCTTTATTGATCTATAACTCATATCCCATGCAGTTCACCCATTTAAATTGTGTCGTTCACCTGTTTAAATTGTACAACTCAGTGGTTTTTAATATATCCACAGAATTGTGCAGCTGTTACCACAACCACTTTTAAAACATTCTCATCACCCCAAAAAGAAATCCCCTATTTTTTAAAAAAGATGCACTTATTTATGCATACAGAGCTGAGGTACAGGCCAGAAGTGCAGGGGCAATGAGAGGGTTCACCAGAGACAGAGTGGGGAGCAGAACAGGATGACTGATAAAGTACACAGTGGGGCACTCTCTGCCAACAGAGAGACGCCACAATATATCTTCTTCTGGACCCTTTATTCTTCTCCCTCACGCGCCTGCCTCCTGCCTGCTTCTCTCTCTCCCCCTGCTTGCTTGCTTCTCTTGCTCTCTCTAGCTTTCCTCCTGCTTGCTTCCTTCGCTTGCTGTAGCTTGCCTCCTCTCTGCTGCCCACCCCCCAGAGTCCGTTATAGCAGTTGCTTAAATAGCATTCATTGACCAATCAGAGCACTGCTCACGTGTACATTGGCCAATCAGAGCACTGCTCACGTGTACATTGGCCAATCAGAGCACTGCTCACGTGTACAACAGGCAGGTTTGGCTGCTGAACCATGGGGCTGGGGTCCCGGGCACCCCGACAGTACACTGCTGATGGGAGCATCGGTCGGGTCAGGAGAGGTCTGCCAGGCCATGTGGGTCACCTCTGGGGTGGGGATCAAACTCATGCTGAAGTGACTTGCTTCTTAGTGCTGTGCTTTAACCCCCTGCGCCACCAGGGAGGGCCAGAAATCCACTATTTTCTGTGGATCCCTCCTTACTCCCCAGCTCTAGGCAACCACTAATTTACTTTCTACTAATCTACTTTGCCTATTCATGTTATTTCATATAAAAGCAAACATAACATAGGTTTTGGTGTTTGACTTCTTTCACTTAGCACAATGTTTTCAAGGCTAATCCATCATTGTGGCATGTATTCGTTTTCCATGTTACGGCCAAATAACATCCCCTTGTATGGATGTTGCACCTTTTATTTATTCTTTCATCCATCAAGGGGCATTTGAGTTCTTTCTACTTTTTGCGATCATGAATAATATTGATGTGTGGATTCATATATATTTTATGAATGTATTAGAGTTGATAGGAATTAGGTCATTTACTGAGTGTTGGAGGAGAAAGATATGTTAAGGATGTAACCCAGATTTCTAACATGAGCAACCTGTATTTAAAACCACAAGAGAGTGATAAGAGTGAAGAGAGATCATTGTGGAATAAGTAAGGATCAAGCCACCATACAGGAATGTATGCTGTCCCTTGCTCTATACTGTTGAGGGTAACCATTTAAAAGAGACTGACTTTTGAAGACTGTGACATTTATAGGAGGTCATATTATGGGGGTGGGCTTAGTATGCATTTCAAAGGTAGAGATAATGTTCCTTATGCCATATCAACAAAATCAGGGGAATTCTTCTGTTCTTTCTGTATTTTTCCTCCCCCTGGGCAAATTCCTTATCCAAGTACTCCTTATGAAACAACCAGTGAACCCCTAATGCCAGGATTACTTTAGCACCCACAAACAAACCTTTTGTTTTCATTCATGTGAGTAGTTAGGTTTGGTAAGTGCTATTTTCAGCATAAAAACAGAGCTGTAAACTTTATTTACCCAGAGTCCTTTATGTTAACTCATATATTCAATGCCTAGTTTAAACCAGGTCCTGCAGAGAGCTACAGAGTACTTACAACACAATCTGTGCCTCCAGCTGGGGTGAAGTCCATGAGGGGGATAGGAATTGAAAGGAATGGGCACTCAGCATTTGTCCGTGGGGATCAGGGGAGATGTTGATGTCGTTGTTTTCTTTTTGGAGTTGTTGGGCTCAGAGAGTGGGGTCCTTGGGTTCATTCTGGGAGAGGTTTCACCAGAGCTCCTCTTTCACCAGCACGCGATGAGTTCCCAGATGAGTTTCTCCATGAAACAGAGATACTAGCTGTGTCCGAAAGAGCAGGTTTATTATAAAAGGGAGCGGACAATAAAGGACACTGGCATAGACACAAATGGGAGGAAAGGGCTGTCCAGAGTGGCACAGTTGGCTGACAGGCCTGCCTGGTTGCGGGCGGGTGGCTTTGAGAGTGGCCTCTGCTGAGGGAGGTCAGTGAAGAGAAGCCCTGGCAGGTACAGGTCGTAGGCAGGCAGGAGGCTGCTGTTCTTCAGAGGGAGAGAGTTGGCACCTGCATAGTCCCAGGTGGGCAGAGGACTACCGCTCCCTGTCAGTGCAGACACTACACTGACAGAACCTCCTTCTCTTTGGGAGGGGCTTACGTGGAGGGGTTTGTTTGCTGACTTTTAATAAACTGTTGAATTTGAATGGAACCAGATTTCTACAATGGGCCCAATCTCCAGATCCTCCTCTTCAGGTCTGACCCCCGCTGCAGCAGTTTGCTACCTGCCTGGATCTTGTGCTTTGTGATCTGGGCATTGCCTGTCTAATGATCTTAGTTCCTGTAGCTGGGTTCATGGCTGTGTTCATCCCTTCTGTCCCCCACCTCCAGCTTTTGTCATTGTGTGAGTCAAGTTTCTGGTTGTGTGGCGCCTCTTTTCCTGTTTTTCTATCCTTATCCTCCAACAACATCATAGAGAGCAGGTGGGGCCTTAAAACGTGGGTACAGTTTTAATGAAGAAACAAGGAAAGAAGGGCGTTGTTTATGGAAAGGAGTGTGCACATGGACTCAGGCGGGATGCCAAGCTAAAGAGTTTAGTTTTTTCTCCAGGTGTAGGCTGTAACAGCCACCAGAACATTTTCACCTGGGGAATAGCTCGGGCTGATTTCTCTGCAGGCAGTGTAGGAGAAACTGGTGCGGGGAGAAACTGGAGGAAGATGCACGTGATGGAATCAGCACTCAGCAATTGTTTGAATTTACAGTGCAAACAAGAGAGTGGCAAAAAGTCCAGTGCCTGGGTAACAGGAAAATGGACTGCCACTAACAGAAATGAAGCCAGCAGGAAGAGGGCTATTAGGGGCGGGAGTGGGGAAGATGATGGGGTGAGCTGGAATTGGGTTGTGAGCACTTTTGAAAATGGGAGATTGGAGAGTGGCTCAGGCATAGACATGTTTATTGACGCTGTGGGGATAGGTGAGTTAGGCAGGTTGACTGTTAAGAAGTCTGAACCTCGAGAATAACCTCCCTTTAGGGGGTGGTGGGAAGAGAAAGAGCCCACAAAGGAGAAGGAATTGGAGCAATCAGTGGTCGTAATCCTGGTCAGTTGAGATGGTCTGAAGCTGAGTGAAAAGAGCCTCTAAATGACCACAGATAGCAGTTCCAGCTCTCGAGGGTTGGTGCAGGCACAGGGTGGTTGGGGATGTTCTGTTCCTCTCATTTCATCCAGTGAAAATCTATATCTACCCGGGGATGGAGCAGCCTCCGCTGAATAACGTTCCACAACAGTCTTTGTCCCAGTGACAGTATACCTTGGCATGCTACTGGTCATTTTGTCGTTTCAAGTTAGAAAACCTTATAGCACAAAGTGTTTCTGACTTAGAAAGCATTAGGATGTGGGGAGAATATCATCAGGCCCCTGACTAGTCAGCACCCTGGCCTGATTCCCAAGCCTCAACGAGGGCTGTGTAAGACCTGGTGTGTTGAGTGGAACAAGAGGCATCCCAACTGCCTTGTCTTCAGATTCTTAGAATGTGGCTATAATCTTGCCAGAGTGCAATTCTTAACGACTTATTTCGTTTTTAAAGCATCTTCAGTTTTTGTAAAAGCTTAATCGGGATTATTGTCATACACAACAAGCACATCAGAAGTGTTAATTGCACTGTAAACTGCTTTGCTGTTTGCTGCCAAATGAAGGTATAAAAGTGGAAAACTAATAGATGTTCTGGCTACTCTCTCTGTGTTACTGATAAACTGGAGTAGCACTCCCCGATGGCCATATTTGTTGGGTACGAGTGAGTTACAGTGAAGACATAGGAAGAAAAGAAAATGTTATCAGGTAGTCAAGAAGCCCAGTTTCCCCTTTCAGAGCTCTGCATAAAGCAGTGGAATTCATGTAATCAGATTCATTCTAAGCATGTTCGGTTTTAAAGCCTCCTTTTCTCTTAATGTTTGAACTGGTAAAGGACAGCGTTGATGGCCATACCATTGGGTACTTCGGCTCGGCGGTGGCACTGGGTTTTAGAACATTGCAAGACTAAGATACATAATTCTAGATCCAGTATTGGGATCTAAGATTTCAGATGAGTTTTTCCTGTTTTTCTGTTTCTTCTTACAGCTCAAGTACCTACGGGAACAATTGAAATATTATATGGAGAAGTGAGAAGAGCCTTCATTCTAGCACAAGCCTCGGATTCATCATTCAGAGTGGATGAAATTGTGCATGTTTTTACTCCTTCAGTTGCTTTATGTTGAGTTTTATTTTGTTGCCTTATGGCGAATGTACAAGTTATTTATTAGAAGTTTGTAACATGTAGAACGGGGCAGAATATAAAAATCTTGTAGGTTTTTAGGACAAAAGAGCCAACTCAGTGATGGGACTTTGCTTTCTTTTATTTTTCCCAGTCAATTGACAGTTACTTACATTGCTTTTATTCTGTGGTCCTATCATATGATTGAGCCATGCTTGCTAACCTGAAGGGCAAACCACTGACTTACATTCGTTTTAACAGTTCCTTTCTTTTTGCATTCAGTATGCCCTAAAACATAGAAGAAAGCAAGTCATTTCGGCCAAGGGCTAGTACCTGCCCTGGTGAATTTAAGTGCCTACCTCACAGGTTTAATGCTAGGTGTGCCTTGTCCATATATCTGGTAACAAGGGCTGTTTTCTGCTTAGGGACGATTTCTTGCTGCTGCTATCTTTGTTCTGTTGTGTTTTTAGGACTGAATGATTGATATTTGTCAGCTAAGGGAACAGTTAGACACAGTAGAAATTATATTCTGAGCTGTTATTCCAAACTTCTACATCCTAAATCCCATCAGAAAAGTTTAGAAAAAAACAGATACCTGTGAATACTTACCAAAAAAAAAAAAAAAAACCTGGGTGGAATTCCCCCCCAGTTGCATTTTTAAGGTCTTCTGTCCTTTAAGCAGTAAATAAAAGCCTCATGTTAAATGGATCCCTGTCTCCTTATTGGACTGCTGTCAAAACAAATTCATATTCAAAGGTAACTGTAAAGAGGCAATAAACTCTACAGCTAGGAAATACAGAAGAGACTGTCAGTGTGGGACATCCTTTTAGAATTCTTAGGATAACTCTTAAATGGATTAAGCAAATCATCTCATATTAATCACACAGCACTGGGATTTGAAGAAAGCATATAGAGAAGCAATCAAAATGGCAGCTGTGGTATTGGCATTGAATTACGTTTTAGTGGAATCCCAGGTGGGATCCCAGCTGTGCCAGTCACCATGGGCAAGTCCCTGCACCTGTTAGAACCTCCATTTCTTCTTCTGGACATTTAGGCTGATACTGCTTATCATCAGAGGCATCTGGTGGTTTTTGGAAATGGCTCAACTAGATCTAGGGTGGTCCCCAGGGAAAGTGGAGGTTCCAGGTTCCCCACTCCACCCAAGGCAGGGCGGAGCTGAGCAGGGAATAGAGGATGATGGAGAGGAGACTGAGAAGAAAGGAAGCAGGATGGTGAGCAAGGAGACCTGAGGGAGGCACATGTAACAGAGACATGAAGAAATGGCACTTGCTCCTTGGTCCTTGACTGGCTGAAACAGACGTGGGTGAGAGACCTGTGGGGAAGTCAACAATGGCAGCTCTTATCTTGGTTTTGATTTTGCTCTTTCCATAATTTTTGGGCTGTTTCTGACTCTTTCTATGGGTCCCCACCAGAAGGTACTTTAGACTTTTGGTGGGCTTTCTGGCCTTGCTTTGGGCCAACCCTATTTGGCTGGATATTTACCCATGAGGGGATTGGTAACTTCAGATGCTTGATTTGGAAACTTTATTCTTCCCCATTCTGCCCCTTTTCTGTATTACATACTACACACACACATACACATCTGCACACTCTCTTCTCTCTCTCTCTCTCTCTCTCTCTATATATATATATATAATTTTTTTATATCATTCTTCATTTTGTACATTTTTCATCTTGGTTGTAATCCCCCTGGTCTTCCCACCACCAATTCACCTATGTGCCATCACCAAGTCAAATGTGCTCTCTTCCCATCCCAGTTTTGATCCCATTCCCCTCTCCACTCCCATAGCATGTCCGGTTTATAGTTGTTTGTTGACTTTCATTTTTACTTTGTTACAATTTTTTTTAAATTATGATCCTTTACACTCCTGCTATGCTATGCGTGAAACCATCTGGTATTTTTCTTTCTCTTTCTGGCTTATTTCACTGAGCATGATCCCTTCCAGCTTCATCCATGTTGCCACCAGTGGCACAAGTTTATCTTTTTGATTGCCATATAATATTCCATTGTGTATAGGTACTACATCTTAATGCCGTCATCTATTTTTGGGCATTTGGGTTGATTCCACATCTTATTGTAAATAGAGCAGCAATAAATATGGGGGTTCAGGTGTCCTTTTGATCAAATGTTTTGGTGTCCTTTGGGTAGATCCCTAGGAGTGGAATTGCTGGATCATACAGAAGCTTCATTTTTAGCAGTTTGAAAAAACCTCTATAAACAGCTTTCCATAGTGGTTGGACTAGTTTGCATTCTCACCAGCAGTACACTAATTATATTAAAGTTCCTTTCCATTGGAGGTCTTACGCACTAGAGTATATTTTGTCACGATATGGCACATGGCAAAACCTACTTTCTGAGCAGGCAGGTTTGGGGATTTTGGGGTGCTCCTCTCCCTACCCTGTAATATTACCCTAGAAAATGTACTCCCAAATGTTCTGTGCCACTTTCCGTGCTCACATCCCAAGTTGAAGTTTGCCAAGAACAGAAAGGAGGAGGTCAGTATGTGTGAGCCACGCCTATGAAGGAGGAAGAAGATAAAAGGAATGCTGGGGGCATGGGGCAAACGCAGGGAAGAAAGAGGTCTAAAGAATGATAAGGGCCAGCAAGATGAAGCTAGGAGAGAAGAGGACTGCCTAAAAGTCATAATAATTTAAGAAACTCCTCCCCACTGAAACCCAGAAATTAAAAAATGGAGAGAAAGAGAATGGGGAAAGGGAATTGAGTGTCAGAGGCAGAAGTTGCAGGAATGAGGCAGGGTAAATTTTCTGGGTTGGTCTGGGTTTCTGGGTCCTCTCAGCTGGATCTGTCAGCCTATTTGACCATTTCTAAGACGTCAGCCTTTCCAGGTGAAGGGAGGCAAGAGACCAGCAGAAACAAAAGGCACGCGGCTGGAGAGACAGAGGCCAGCGGTGGTGGCACTGCAGTGCTTCTGCAGGGCCCTTCCAGCCTCTGTCACGTGTTACTGTAATCTGGGGGTCCTGCTTCCCAACGGCCTCCTGTGCCCTCCTTGGCTTATTGCCCCCCCCATGTCCCACTCCACCACAAAACATACTTCTGTGCTTTTAGGGAGGATTTTATCCATCTCCCTCATTCTGGTGAGGCATGGGACTTTCTGCCGGCTCCCCCTGCTCCCCCACCCTCTCCCACCCCCCAACTCCAAGGATGGGGGTGTAGGCCTTAAGACTGCTTAGTTGCAGTGTGGAGTGGACTCCTCAGCAACAGGGTGTCCCACTGTTGATGCGCACATCCTCTGGCCCCTTTATTTCAGTGTTGTCCTGGGAACAAGGGACCCAGTCAGCTGATAACACCGCTGATCCTGCTTTTGTTGTCTCTCAGTAACAAGTTGTCTGGGTCTATCTGGGTTTCTTGTTTCCTTACCAGCTGTAAGCCTACTTGACCATTTCTGAGACTTAGTAGAAAGAAGAGAAATAAATGAGCTCATCAACAATTGTTTCATATAATTATACAATATATGATGATATGGAAATCAGTATTTTAAATATATTGGGGCAAGTCAAATGTTACCAAAATTAGTGTCACCTCTGTTGTATTTTCTATGGTGGTTAGAAAATTTTAAAATGTGGCCCTCCCCGGTGGCGCAGCCGGTTAAAGCACAGCACTAGGAAGCTAAAGCCACTTCAGCATGAGTTCTATCCCTGGCCCCAGAGGTGACCCACATGGCGCGGCAGACCTCTCCTGACCCGCCTGCTGCTCCCCTCAGCAGTGTATTTCATTGACTGCCTGTTCTGCTCTCCACTCTGTCTCTGGTGAAGCCGCTCATTGCCCCTGTACCTCTGGCCTTTATCCCAGTTCTGTATGCACAAATAAATCTTTTTTTAAAAAAAAGTAAATTTTAAAATGCATTTGTGGCACACATTTTATTTCTATTCTAGATTGGTGAAAAAAAAAGTTGGTGATGGGGTCAAGGGACCTAGACAAGGCTTTATTTTGGCAGAAATTCATCCCTGTGAATTTGTGGGGATGGCATATATTTATATGTGTGTATGTGTGTGTGTGTGTGTGTGACTAGAAGATAGATCTTTGAATTGAGTAAATTTATTTATGAAAACCTGCTGTATTATCCTGGCTTTTAAAATTATACCTCAGAATGGTGAAAATTCCTAGATGGATGAGGATAGTCCCATGAGGGGGTAACTAGCTAATGTGCATGGGATCTTCAGAGGTAAACACCAGTCTCCAGGTAGCAATGGTGGAGGGGACTAGTGAGGTATCTTTGTTGTGCTGTGGCTGGACTCAGCGCTGCTGTGGTTGCTTGGCTCACCTTCCTTCCCACACCCAAATAAAGGAAGGATATGAAATGTCAGAGTCAAGGAGTCAACCAGAGGAACCAAAGTAAACAAATACAAATTTATTCTTTTCAAAGCAGATTGAAGGGATGGGGGCAAAGCACCACAGTGAGTGGCAACCAAAGTAAATCCAATTTGTTCCCAGCCCCGCCTCTTCATCCCAAACTTGTTTAGACTTCTACACCACCCTTATTGCCTCTCCCCAGCTGCCATCTTTGTGACCAGTTCTTTCAGCTAGCGAACGGCATAGCAGACTTCAGTCTGGCCTCAAAACTGCCCTGGAGACAGCAAGGACATTCAGCAGACCCCTATACACAGCAACTGCGGGAGGAGATGGAGGCTGGGAGAAGAGCCTTGGCCTTGAGCCTTTCCCTCTCCCACAGCCACTGATGTCAAAAGAGCAAGAAAGTGCTGAAGTATTCCTTTGTTCCCAGGGCCAGATTTTGGCAGAAAGGCCAGAGATAGAGCTGCCCAGCTGAGCAGCTAGGTCTCCATAGCTCTCGGGGAAGGTTCTTCAGTTTCTCCCCCAGGACTTTGTCAAAAGGCAGCTGCTCTCTTGCTTATTTCTCACCTGTGTCAAGGGAACTTTAAAGAGATTCCTGGCCTCTAATCATCTTAGAGGCTGCAAGCCTGTTCCTGAGAATGCCTGTTCAGGGAATGGTGTAGCCTGAAGCTGTGTATGGAGCCCAGATGCCAAACACACCACAGATTCCTGAAATCGTATCTGGAAGGAAAACATCGCCAAGTATTGGTCTCTGCATTGCCTCAGGGTTTCATCAATTCCAGGGTAGTACAAGAAACTCAAACCGGTTTTTTTGCAGGGAAATAGCTCCACTCTGGGGACCTTGAAGGAAATGGCCACTTTGAGAGCCTTTTCATTGTGGGGCAGAGGGCCCTCATCCCTCTTGAGCAGGGGCCTCCCTAGGGAACCGCACAAGCAACGACCTGAGGGCCTCCAGCCAGTCAGCCTTCCCTAGCAGTTTCCCAATCCACACCAATCCATTCTGCTCACCTCCCAGCGGAGGGATCCTCCTAATGGCTTTTGGGCCTCTCTCAGATTCTGTCGAGAATAATTCACCCCTTGATCCTAACTGTTCCCCGAAAACTATTTGACAACAACCCCAGCAAACATTCACATTCCTTATCACTGATGCTAATGCCACAAGTCAAAAGTTTTCCTTAGGCAGCCAACCCAGCGAGGGCCTTCTTTGCCCTTGAGTGCAGAGCCATAGACTACGCAGCGTCATATCCAGTATGTCTAGGAGACACGACACATGACAGATGCCTAACTACAAATAACACATCTCGGCAAATCCCACGCAAACCTGGATTCACCAGGGCTGAGGATACATTGACCGCACCGCAGGCCAGCAGCAATGGCTCCTGGACCCTCAAGCAATACACCTACCTTGGGCACTATGGTCAACGAAGGCCACAAGGTATCAGTAACTCCGTTTGAGAGAATCAACTCTTGACCTGCTGCTTTGGTCCACCTACATCACAAATCCTACGTAACAAGATCTTCGTCTTTTTTTTTTTTTTTAACAGGGCGTGGTCTGCTGCACTTGCCACAGGCGCTCACAGCTTAAGATCTCTTGGGTAGAACAAGGGTTCTGCAAAGGATTTTCCAGGTGAAAGACTGTCTCATAATATTTGCCCTCCTAAAGCTGAGGCAGATGTATGCTTCAACAACCTTGAGCTCCCTGCATTAGAGCAAGTTTTTCCTATGCCAGCCATGGCCAGACACCAGGGTCTGTGACCTGCCTACTGCCTGTTCAGCATACATCCAGATATCCAGTCCTGCCCGGAGACCTCGTGGGCAGTAAGACAGATGGTGGGATGAAGTCTGACACCCTCGACCGATGGCCAAGTGTCCCCTGGCAATTCTAGGGTCGTCACTCCTCAGCTCTTAGAGCCAGCCACCACTCTCCCTCCTTTGCAGCAGATGAATCTCACTTCCCAGCCCTTCTACCAACCACCCCCCAGCTCCGTTAGGACATAGGAGCCCAATCGTCTCACACCCTGCTGACCTTGATGGCAACCACCACTTTTTTAATGCTTTGAGCCACAGTTAGGAAACTGGACGGAGCAACAGGATATGCCCAGTGGCCATCCTTGCCAAGGCTAAGAAAGCCTATTTATTCCTTCTTTTATGTGCAGGGCGAGTAGAGCTTGGATTTGCTCTATTTTGGCACCTGAACCAGGTGAGAGGAGCCTAGGAAGATTCGCCCAAAGCCCAGGGCTTAAGGAAACATGATTTGGAATGAGTGATGAGAACAGGCTTCTGTTGCTTTGGTCTTGAGGACAGCTCACCCCAAATACGAATGGAGAGGCAGCCTGAGGGAGCATGTGGGAGGGATACATCTATCTGTCCAACCAGAGGCTGGGGCTGACAAAGAGCAAGGCAGAACATTAATACTTCAAGAGGTATTAGAGTTTAATGTGTGAGTGAGGCCAGGAGAGTGCTGATGTACAGTAGATATGCAGGATAGATATGTTTGTATATAAACCGGCAATTTAGGTGAATTGTAGGGTTCTAGGTTATAAAGCTCCTTTTGATAGAAAGCTGCCTAAGTGGGCTCTGTGTTTAAAGTTGCCAAGCCCACTACCCCTACCCCCATTGTCTATTCTGAACAGTTTTTGGATAAAAGGATCATGGTATATGTTGCTTAGGAAGCATTAGTTCAGTTTGAGGACTGGGTCCCCCCTCCAGAGTTAGCAAAACAGTTTTCTGCGAAAGATGGCCTTGCTGTTGTCGGGTGGAAAGCATCCAGTCTACTGATTGCGAGCCAGTGGTTCCTTGGAAGGGACCACTGTGTCTTGTGGCATCTGCTGGGGTAATCAGCCACCTCACCTGATGTACCTGAAGCAAAAGAAGGGTCACAGCCTGCGGGGGTGTTGGGCAGTCACACGCCTCCAAGCTGAAGGTGTCTTCGCTTCCTCACCCAAGAGACTACAGCCTCTTTGCAGAACAAGCGCCCGCCCCTCCCCCAGGGCTGTGAAGGCAGACTCGAGCCACTCAGCTGATCTTTTGAGACACAGAGGCCTTCGGGAAAGGGGGTGATGGGGAAAATCATTTAAGCCCATATGTATCTTTTTTTAACATTTCCAAAAGTGAGGTCAAAGGAGGAACCAGAATGAGTTGCTCCCACCTTAAGGAAGGCCTGCCAGGGAATGGGGCACAAAGAACTGAAGATATTTGTGGAGGAAATAGCATGTAGTAGCTTCAGGATGGTTAGAGCTATGACCTCAAAAGGAAGCACATGGCAGACCTTTTCAGGGGCACTTGGCAGGCTACTTTGGGGATATCCTCTTGTCTCCCTGAGTTGGGCCAGAGAGTAGGGCTAACGCTTGTGAATTCATAATGCTGGAACCTGGGGCCATGAGGCTTCTCCATGTCCATAATTCTGCAGAGAAGGGAAAGGGATGAGTGAATCGGCACTGCTTAGTTCTGCAAGGCCCTCTCTCTGCTCCTCAGCTGAATGGCCCCCAATAACATCGGCCTGGGCTGCAACAGGGGCATGCTTAAGGGGCCAGTCTCAAACTGGAAGATGAAAGGGCACATTTCTAGAACCAGAGGAATCATGCCTCTCCCTCTTCCAACACCCCCCTCCCCTGCCTATACCCACTCCACATGCCACCAGATCCCTGGTGCTGCCCGGGGCCCAGATAACTCTGGTTGAGGAATATGGAACCAGTGGGGACTGGAAAGTTTGGGTGAAGGCTGGGGGAAGGCTTTGATCAGAATGGGGAGAGGACTATGAACTGTAAGTTGGGGCTCTGGCTCCGTCAAGATGCCAGCAGGGTACTGGCAGTCACATCAGAGCTTCGGACACTGGGGAAGGCATGGCGGAGTTTCTCCATGATGTCCTCCAGGCACAGGCTGACATCCTGGCTCTTGGACCCCTCATCATCTGAGTTGGAAAAGAGAGAGTTGGGAAACAAGCTAGAGATTGCCTTACGAGGCTACGGGGCTTCCCCTGCCAGCTGATGGGCAAACCTACAGCATCCGGATCTTCCCAGCACCATGCCCAGTCCATAGGTTGGTGCTTAATCTACAGTTTTGGAATAAATGAATGAATTAGTAAGCGATCATCTCTGGCCTTCAACTCAAGTCCATGAGAAGAAAACATACCAACCCTAGCAGAAACTGGAGCAGATCACAGGCACGACACAGCGGCAAGGGAGAGGGTGGGTTCAGGGGAACTCACCTGCAGCCTCGGTGTCTGGGGTCGTTTGTCCCTTCTCTTGGGGGTGACTGCTTTCTGACTGCTGCGGAGAGGAAGCCAGCGAGGAGCCTGCCGAGCCATTGCCATCAGATTCAGTGGGTGGCTAGTAAGAGGTAAGAAAGGACTTAAGTGACTCTCCCTTCTCACCTGACTTTGCCAGACTCCTGAGCTTAGAAAGGAGCTTAACGATCTCATGTCCAGCCCTTTGCCCTTGGACTATGAGAAAGTTGTGGTAGTGCCTCAGATGGTGGCTTCCCCTTTTAGGAAACTTCTCAAAATAATTCAATTACCTATTACCTTCATCCTTGAACAGCGTGTGTGAAAGGCTCCAGTTTTATAAGGATGGTGTTGCACCTGAAGCGTTTCTGTTGTTATTTCAGCTATAATTAAGCTATTTAGAACTCCACTCTCTCTGGAGATGTAGACTTGCACACCTGATGTTCAATTCATGACACAATGTCATATTACAGGTCTCCAGGTATTTATCTTGAGGCCATCTCTTGGAGGACCCAGGGAAGAGCTGAGAGGTGGTTATCACTTGGTATGTAAAATAACAACAATAGGTAACACTTGTGAAGTGTTTGCTGTATTACTGGCGTCATGCTAAATTCTTTCAGTGCCTTATCTGATTTTATGTTCACTAAAATTCTGTGGAGTTGGTACAGTAGTATCTCTGTTTTACAGACGAGGGAACCGGAACCAGTGAGGCTAAATGTTTCCACATTCCAGCTCAGGGTTGTCTGACTCCAGAACTACCCTGCCTCCCACGTGCTGCCTCGCACAAAGGAAATGGCCAAGCGTCCCTCGGGCTCTCCTCACAGCCCTGCATGTCTAAACCCACTTCTCTGCAGCCAACACCATACTAGCAAAAATCGATGTTTTGGATGATTCTCACAAATTTGTTCTTTAATATCTGCTTCACATGGATCATGGGGAAGTGTGCCCTCAGTCATTCTCCCTCTGCCCCCAGGACCGACAGGGGCTTGAGGATCATATACCTGGGTGGACTGGAGGCTGGGTAGAAGAGAACTGGCTAAGGGAGGGGTAGGGAAGCCCCCTTTTCCACCCACCCACCCCAACTGCTAGCCCAGTTCTCTTCAGAAAGTCATCTGACTGTCACCTGAGCCAACTAGACACCTTTCCTCTCCTTTGCTCTGTTTCCCCCCTCCCTTCTTGCCCCCCTCCTCATGCTCAGGGGCTGCTCTGATCCTTCTCCCAGCTTCAGCCTCACCTGCAGGAGCAGCTCCCTTAAGCGCTGCAGCTGGGATTCTAGTTGCTTGTTGTGGTCTTCAAGGATCTGCATGCGCGTCTCCAGGCGGCTCTTGTGCTGCCGAAGAATACGGGCCTCAGCCAGTAGCTCCTCATTGCGGTGGTCCTGAGTGGTGTCAGCAGAACCCTCAGCCAGGGTGGGTGCTTCAGCAGCCTCCTCATGCTGCCACTTCAGGCGCCGCAGTTCTCCCTGGAGAATCCTGTCAAGGACAGAGAAGCTAAGACTCATGGTCTTAAAGGGTATTGACCGTTCAGGTCACACATGTCCCCTCAGCCCTAGGCGTGAACAATCCTTTTCCCTCCCATCCTCTCCTCCACCCCCGCCCCTTACTTAAGTGGCCATATCCACTTTCTTCTCAGTACAGACGTCATTTACTTTCCTATCCTCAGGCCTCAGAGCAGAGAAAGCTGGCATTTCATATAACAAAAGTCTCAGGGCTTTGATGTGCTGCTTCGGGGATTAGTTCTGACCTTAACATCAGGCAGAAACACAGTCTGCAAATAAATGGGCGCTATCAACTCACCTGCTCCATTTTTAGATTCCAGGGAGACGTAGAACATAAACAAAAGATAAACCATCTCTCTCCACTACCCTCCTATTTGGCCCACTTGGAACACCCATGCTGAGTCACCAAAGAAAAGAGAAAAGATTACAAAGAGGTGGTCTACTGTGAGGGACAGTACATCTCTTGGAGGGGGAACAACAGAATTGCTCCCAGTCAGGTGTTTCCCAGCGCCTCCTCACTGTTACTCTAATGAGGTGTTTCTCTGACTACAGTGAAGAAACGGGGGGCGTTTTCAAGCCATTGTGCTCCGATACATGGTCTGATTGCTCACGGTTCACCACTCTCACTACACCGCTCTCACTACACAAGTTCAACAATGCTCAGATTGGCCAGTGTCCTATTCAATGCAGAACCAGCGCACGAATGTGTTTGGAGATCACAACGACATCAAATTGCTATAAATGTTTTTGCCTTTCCTTTTCTGGATTCACCTGGTCTTAAACCAGCAACAAAGACTTAGCAGACTGGCCCTGTTCTAAGGACTCAGTCTTTGGGGCAGTGACATGAGCCTTCCTGGGAGCTGGTAAGAAACGCAAGAACCCACCCCAGACTTGCAACCAGCACCTGCTTTTCACACCACTGTCCAAGGGACACACACACACACGCAAACACACACGCACATGAATGTTTGACAAGGACTGTTCTGAGGGGTACTATGGATTCCACTGCACATCCCCAGCGTGGCTTGGGCCTCCTCAGCCCCTGCTGCCAACCGTGCTGTATGGCAATTTATGCCATCTGAGGCCATCCTCGCCTTCTTCAGGGCTGCAATGCCCTACTGGTGTGACACTTCTCTCTTTCATTCCTCCCACCTAAGTGATTTCCAACATTGCAAGTTCCGTGAGGGTGGGAACGCATCCTGCTCTTTTTGGTACTCTTTGTGTTTACATCTTCTCTGCTTGGATCTAGCTAGTGAGCACCAGAAGTCTTTAGGTTGACTTGAAAGGATGATGTTTAGGCTGAGCACTTACTATAAGCCAGATACCAGCTAACCCTTGATACACCTGATCTCATTTGATCTTCACAAGTTACACTCGAACACAGCTAGTATGATCATTTTACAGAAGGGGAAATGGAGGATCACCGAATATAAGGAACTTGTTTAAAGTCACATAACTAGGGACAGTGCCTGGACTTGAATTCACAGGACAGTGTGGAAGTGCTAGAAACTGAAGTCAAGCTCTTCAAACCCACATGAATCTCTGGCAGCAGCACCACCCACCGGTTCTCATCCTCTAAGTGGGCCAGGATCTTCTCGAGCTCTCCCTTGCTCTCCGTGGCCATGCCGCGTAGAGTCTGCTGCCCGAAGACCGGCTCCCGGTCTGGGATGGGGCTGGAGTGCCGCAGCAGGTACTGGTCCTCGTCTCTACACAGGCGTGGGGCGAGGAAAGGAAGACGCCAGGCAGATGTGTGAGGATTCACTTCTCCGCCCATGGAGGGAAAGGCCACAAGTACAGGTGGGCGAGGAATGGAAGTGTTCAAAGGGGGCAGAAGTCGTGGTTGGGGGTACAAGGAGAGTGTTTTCAGGATGCCCGGGCTTCTGGTTTCTACTTAGATGTCTCTTGGAAGCAACAACGAGCAAATCACTCCCCACCTGTGCTACTCCCTCACCTGCACCCCCTTCACTTCCCCAACCCAAGAAGGAGCACTGCTGCCTGAGTGCCCAGTCAGAACCAGATTGATCCCTGTAGCGGCAGCTCCTCGACCCTCAGAGCAGACCAGGGGCCTCGCTTGAGGTGAAGGGCCCCTTCTTTGGGCTAATGCACCGGGAGCCTCTCTGGCCACTTTCCAGTCAAACCCCTGGTGTCTCCTTGGGATCCGTTGGACACTAGATGGAGCTTTGTCGTCTTGAGTGCAAGATAGTAGCTCATTTCTACAATGTCACATGAGACCACATCCTTCTTCCCTCAATGCCGGGCAGAAGGTGGGGTTATGCCACAGGAAGGGGCTGGGGTAGATGGCAGGGAGGCAGGCAGGACATCATCTGTCCACAGGGCCTGCTCAGGTGATAGGAGGCAGAACTGCTTCTCTTACTAAGCACTGTGCCCCCTCAGGGCATCCTGGACCCTGGCTCTGACCACCACACTCTGCCTCCCCTGAAGGTACACTTCCCAAAGCGGGCAGAGGGATCCCAAGGAGAGCTATTCCAGGAAAAGAAGCAGCTGTGAAAACTCACATGCTGTCATCTGGGGACAGGCTGTCATTAAAGAAGGAGCAATTTTGACTTTCCATCTCAGCAAGCCTGGGGAGAGAGAGCAGGAACAGAAGGGAACACAGGGTGTGGGACTGGCTTTCATCTAACCCCCTGATAGGAGTATCAGCCCTGGGGGCCTCCCCAACCACCCCTATGTGGTGGGCCTCACCAGCAGCTATGTACCCATAGTGCACATCTCCCCTAGCCATTCTCTTTGTTCCAGCTGACAGCCCCTCCCCTTGGATCCCACAGTCCCCCCTGCTTCCTCCCCCACCTGATGGTACCTGCTGGCAAAATGCTCAATGCGGGAGTGTGTGTCAGCGTGTGGCAACATCGGGGAAGAAGCCGGCCTAGAAGAAAGCAGTAGACTCAGGGGACCAAAGTTGGCCAGCTGGGCAGTGTGTTTCCTCACCACCACCGTCCTCTTACTCCCATAACCAAATGAGGCAGATGGGCAAGAGCTCTTCAGCACAAGGAGAGACTGGAGTCTAGTCCGTTTCTCAGGGCAGATTCCTGGTCAGGCTCAGGTTGAACTGCCCTGTCACGAGTCAGGTCTGCCCTAGAACATTCCGCTAGCCCACTGGGGATCTCAGCCCCGTCACAGCACATTCTTGGGCTCAGTGAGGCTGCCCACAGCCCGGCCCAGCCCCGGATACTCACGTCTCACTGTAGTCGGCCTCCAGCACTGACTGCACGGGTAGATAACCTCGTTGAGGGTGTTTGCTGAAATAATGCTTTGAGCGGAATTTGTTCTTTAAAGTTGTGGCAAAGTCCCTCATGTTCTCACTGGATGTGGTCTGGTGGGCAGGGGAGAGGGCAGAAGAACTCACTCTACTGGCTTCTGGATATTCTGGGGGAGGTGTGGCTGCTTCCCTAGAGCAGGGAATCTACGGGCAACACACTGCTGGCCATGCCTACCACACCCTCCTTCTAGAAAAACATCTAGAAGTATATATGCCAAACTGAGCACTAGTTGCCTCTGAGAAGTTGGTCTGGAAGTATGGGGACAGGGGAGGAGAGGGAGGGGCTTTCATTTGATACTTTAAAACCCTCTGGACAATTTGGATCTTTTACAATCATATTTGCTAATTTTTAACATAACTTTTAAATTTTAGGGAGGTAGAAGATGAACAAGGGGTAGAAGATTACCCATCTGCCCCTTCAAGCCAGTTTGTATGCATTTTATGATATTTATTTCAAAATGATCACCCACAAAAAGGGCAAGGATTCTGCTCCCACTGGGGTACAAGTATTTCTGTACCAACAGAATCTGGAGAACGGAGGACAGCTTAGAAGGATTGTGGGAAAACACAAGGTTGAAAGATGAGGAGGTCGAAGAGGAGAGAGCAGTGGGGGGAGCTGCGGCTTTGTGATAACTGTGGGGGTAGAAAGGGATAAAGGGGTTTGGGGGCAGAATCAGCTCAGAGGGCTAAGTTTGGCGCCGTGGGTCTTTAACACAGCAGAGGGCATGTTCCGTGGCTGCAGGTCAAGGGGGCTGGCCAACCTGGGCTCAGGTGGCCGCAAAGGGCGGTTTCCAGTAAAAACTAAGTTGAATCTGTGGACCCAGGTAAAGAGCATGACTTATTTTTTTAAGAGCCTGAATAACTCACTTGAACACAGCATTTGGGGTTGACTGGAAGGGGTGGAAGCAACGATCAAGTAGCCGGTGAAAGGCAAGTGACAGGAACAATAGTCAGGGAGAGCAAACTAAGGCAAGCAGCACAAGACTAGTCGCCTGGGACCACCTTGCTCTTTCTACTTTTCTTGCAACTTTTCTCTGCAGGAAACTAGTGCATGCCCTTTCAATGGCAGAGGCTGTCCTGAGCTGCTCAAGTCAGTGGCATCCTGGGAGAGGGAGAGGGTGTACTAGAAGGTCAGAGAGGCCTGAACACCTCGAACCAGTGAACACCAGTTCTCCTTGGGAAATGTACCCCAATGGAGAGAGCAAAATACAGTTAGCCAGTGCCTGACAAAACGGATGAAGGAACCCATGCCCGAGAGCTGCCCACCCCTCCAGTCGGGACTGCATACTCCGTACCGGGGTGTAATATTCCATGATAGGGTAGTGCAGCTTGTTGCCTTTGCTGGCCCTGCCTGTCAAGAAGCAGGTCTGGCAGATGTCCACGTTAAATTGTTTCAGACTCCGGTACCTTGGGGAGAGAAGTGACAGGAAAGTGGATCCAATGACCTCCCCAATCCTTTAACATTCAAACATACACCTGCATGAGAAGACGGTGAGACAGGAGTCATAACATGCTTGGCTTCCTACACATCATAGCGCTTGAGTCTTCACTAGGTGACTAGCCTTACAATACAGCCCATAAATCTCCACGTGGAGCTCATGCACAGATTCGCAGAAAGTAAGGGAAATAACATTTGTCTCACCACCTTTTTTAAAAGGAAGGGAAGAGGACTCTGGTGGCACAAAAGGTTGAGTCTCAGCACCATGAAGCCTTTGGCAGCCACTGCAGCACGAGTTCGATCCCTGGCCAGGGAGGTGACCCATACGATGTGGCAGGCCTCTTCTGCCTTGCCAGCTGCTCCCCTCAACGGTGTATTTCAGTCCATCTGCCTGTTCTGCTGCCTACTCTGTCTCTGGTGAATCCTCTCCGACCCCCCACCCCCGCACCTCTGGCCTACACCCCAGCTTTTGTATGCATAAATAAATCAATCCTAAATAAATAAATAAATAAAAGGGAGGGCGGGAGGGAAAGGGATAAAGAGCTATCAAATAGCTTTCTGGGAAGGATGGTACCAGAGGGTCCAGCCTCACAGGCACTACTACCTGACCTGGAAAAGGCACACTCGCATGCAAACATAGCCGGTTCTCCTAGCTATGGGCAAGTTGGCTAAAAGTTATTCCCAACTTTGAATCCATGGAAACTCTCTTGGATATTAGCCTCGTGTTGGAAGAGCTAAATAAACACTTCTCCAAAGAGGATATATGGATGGAAAATGTTCATCACTTATCATTAATGAAATGCAAACAAAACCACAGTGAGAAACCACCTACAACTTTGAAATGGCCCATGTCAAGAAGGTAAGAAATAAGAGTTGGCAAACTGTAGAGAAGTTCCTTAACTCTCACACAGTGTTGGTCCACCTCCTGTGGAAAACAATGTGGAGGTTTTGTAAAACATTAACAATTCAGCTACAATATGATCCAGCAATTCCACTCCTATATATCTATTTGAAGAGTGAATACATATTAATTCAAAGAGGAAAAAGGTTATTCCCCAAAGTCTTTTATAATAGTAACTATATTATTACTGAATATAGACTAGCCCTTCAGATCTAGTTCCAAAGCCTGTCTGAATTGCCTAGCTCTAGTAGTATAGACTGGTGAGATGCCTAGACTTAGAGAAGTCAGAGGATCTAAAATCTAGTCCTGGATATACATTTCTCCTCTGAGCTCACTTGCTTATTAAAAGTGAGAGTGCATGTTGGTGCTTAAAATTTTTATCTATTTATTTCGTATTTTAGTGTAGAAGAACTGAGGTGTGTGACAGGGATTGGGGGAGGGGGTGAGAGGACTCACCAGAGGCAGAGTGGGGAGCAGAACAGGCAGAAAGACACTGCTGAGGGGAGCAGTGGGCGGGGTCAGGAGAGGTCTGCCGGCCATGTGGGTCACCTCCCAGACTGGGGAGGCCACTTCACAGCAGGAAGGCCTTTGAGGTGGTAATGCTGAGACTTAGGCCAACAGGGAGGCCCCAGTGCTTTAAAAAATTTAAAAGGTTACAGCTCAACATGGTGATATAGGAAGATCCTGAACTGACCTCCTCCCATGGACCCCATGGACACACAATGTACAATTATATATGGAACAATTTTCTCTGAAGACAAATCTAAAAATATCTGAGCAACTTCTACACAACAGGCAAGTAAGAAAAAGTAAAAAAAGTAAACACATCAAGACAGGAAGGAGAGACTGAAACATCATCTTGCTATAAACCTCACTCTGGCACAGTGGCCCACAATTGGAAGGGAACTCAGAACCTGTGCTTCTCCCTGAGGAATGAAGGGTCTAAACTCAACATTAGGCACCCCAGCTTTTAAGGCCTGTACTGAGAGATGAGCCTCCTCCCCCAAAACATCTAGTTTTATAAACCAGTGAGTCACCATGAGGATAGTCTCTTCAATAAATAGTGTTGACAACACTGGACAGCCACAGACCAAAGAAGAAAACTGGACCACCATCTTACAGTACCCAGAAAAAATAAGTCAAAATGGATAAAAGACTTGTATGAAAGATGCAAAACCATAAAACTTCTAGAAGGAAACATAGCTTGTAAACTCTTATATATTGGTCTTAGCAATGATTTTTTTCAGATCTGAAACCAAAAGCAAAAACAAAACCCAAGTTTCCATACAGCAAAGGAGCCTATCAACAAAATGAAAAGGAAGCTTACTGAATTAAAAAAAAACAAAAACGTGTGATCACATATCTGGTAAGGGGTTAACATCTAAAAAAGCATAAAGAATTCATACAACTCAGTAGAAAAAAAATATACAATGCAATTAGCAAATGCAGATGATCTGAATAGACAGGACTCCAATGAAGCCATACGAATGACCAACAGTACATGAAAAGATGCTGCATCACTAACCATCAGGGGAAGCAAATCAAAACCACAATGAGTTAGCAGCGAACACCTGTGAGAATGGCTATTCTCAAAAAGACAAGAAAAGTATTGTGAAGATATAGAGAAAAGGGAACCCTTGTGATCTACCGATGGAAATGTAAGTTAGCGCGACCACTATGGAAAACAGTATGGAGTTTTCTCCCCAAAACTGAAAATAAATCTATGATGTGATCTAGCAGTTCCATCAATGGGTATTTCTCAAAAGAACAAAAAACATTATCTTGAAAAGATAATGGGTTGAAAAACCATGTTCACTGTAGCATTATTTACCATAGCCAACACAGAGAAATAATTTTAGTGTCTCTTGATGGATAAGTGGACAAACAAAATGTGATAAATATACAAACACACATACATATACACATATATAAAATATTAAAGAAGAAAACCAAATCATTTGTGACAATATGGTTGGTTCTTGAGGGCATCATGTGAAATGAAATAAATTAGACAGAGAAGTGATTTCACTTATATGTGGAATCTTTAAAAAAAGAAAAAACCCAAGGCCTGAGCTCATCGAGGAGAGATTGGTGGTTGCCAGCAGTGAGGGTTGTGAGACAGGCGATATGTACTCAAGTGTCAAAAAGCACAAACATTTGTATAAATGAAGCCCTGGGGTGGAATGTATAGTACAGTGATTAGAGTTAATAGTACTGTATAGCATGCACATCTGAACAGTGCTAACAGAGTAATGTGAAAAGTTCTTATTACAAGCAAAGGACTGTTGTAGCTATGTATGGTGACATTAGGTAACTGGTCTAGTTGTGATCACTTTGCAATTAAAAACCGTACACAGATGGGGCCCTCCCTGGTGGCGCAGCAGGTTAAAGCACAGCACTGAGAATCTAAAGCCACTTCGGCATGAGTTCGATTTCCGCCTGCCCGGGAGGTGACCACATGGCGTGGCAGACCTCTCCAGACCCGCCCGCTGCTCCCTCAGCAGTGTACTTCGTGGATCTGCCTGTTCTGCTCCCCACTCTGTCTCTGGTGAGTCCTCTCACTGCCCCTGCATGTCTGGCCTATACTCCAGTTCTGCACAAAATAAATAAATCTTAAAAAAAAAGTACACATATCAAAATATTGTGTTGTATACCTGAAACTAATTGACTGGTTTGTTTGTGTTTTTGTTTTTTTTGTGGGGGGGGAGGATTCTTTTTTTTTTTTAAACTAATTGACTGTTAACACCTGACTTAAATTCTACCTCAACTGTTAACATCGTTTTATGATGCAAACTAAATTCAGAGTGGCCGTTACCTTTGTGGGGGAGGAGGGGAAGTAGGCTACTGAAACTGCTTTGTTTCTTAACTTGGTAGTGGCTGCCCTCCATGGTATGCTGCAGCTGGCTGGCATCGCGTCACCAGAGCCAGCTGTTAAAATTTCAGGGAAATTCCAGAATTGTTAAATCCAGCCTTTATTAGATTAAATTTAAAGGGGTTTAATTTTACAAAAATGGAATGATAGAAACAATTATGCAATTATGTAAATAATACTGGAAACCAAAATAATAAATATTCAAAACTCATAGCATCCTAATTATTTTACTATCATCCATCTTTGTGAGGTTGTCTACATTGATTGTACCTACAGGGCTGAAATTTTATAAATGGTGCACAACTACACATCTCTTCCTGATCTCCTTGGGTAGCCTGACATCAGCCAGCCATGGTGGGAACATTGCATCCGGGACATTTGCAAATATAACCAATCAGGTTTTGCAGAGTCAGTTGAGAACCATGGGTCAGAACGCCACTTGGGGCCTCAGTGTCCTCAATATGCCAGGATGCTCAGGCTGCTGGGTTCTACTTAACACTCTGCAAAACAATGAGTAAATTACTCCCCACCCCACTCCTTTGCTTCTCTATATGTTGCTGCTGTTTTTTAGTCTCAAGTACTTCATAATAGCAGTAAAACAAAAGGAAATACTTCATGTCCAATTTTATAAAAGTCAAACATTCTGGGAAGAAAGGATTACAATATATAAAATCAGTCCATAAAGTAGCAAGAACTGCAAGTGTGTAAGGCATTGTTTTCTAATATATGGCCTATGTATATTGTTTTCTAATATCTGACCTACATGATAATAACCTTACTATTGCCACTATTACGGTCATCGTCAGTTCAGTGGGTGTTGCTTGCCCTACCTGAAGCCCTTGATGGGGCACTGTCTACAGATAGAGCACTTGGTCTGATGCTTCACTTGCTCGGCAATGGTGACCCGATGCAGAACAGCCAGCCACACCATGGACTGGGGCTCCAAGTTGACCCACTCCAGGAACTGCGATGCTTCAATGAGTGGCTTCCCAGTGCTCTAGGGAAACAAAAGCCCCAGGTGAGGTGAGGCCCAAAGTGTCTTGTCTCTGTAGTAGTTGTTCTCTGTGCAAGAGGAGAATCAGCAAGGCCTGGGTTGGCCTAATCTCCATACCTTGTCCTAGTTGAGCTGGTACCCTCCTCAGAAGGACTCTGGTCCCAAGAGTCCAGGGAACACTGTGCTTGGTGTTCCATCCCCATAAACTCCCTTACATCTGAGTAGCCCAGATGTAAGGGATTAACAAAAGCCTACCTCTTAATTCTCCCTCCCTTCAACCCCATCCTCCCTCTCCCTGTCAAGGTCTCTCCCCAGTTCCATACTCACGAAGCGGAAGCAACTACGGACACTGGGCTCCACATTGCTGCCCCCAAAGGCTGCCACTTCCCCCAGTTGACGGGGCACCTGAATGGCCTCATGAAGCAGGACACCAAGATGGCGCTGGTCGCACTGGCTGCCTGAGTTGGCCACTTGGCTGAAGAGGTCTGCTGGCACCATCAAAAGTCATGGCCAACCCCGATGCAGGAATGGCCCCAGAATGGTGCGAGGAGAAAGACAGAAAAGGAAGACAGGGAAAGAGCACATAGACTTAGCTAATGACTTCTGAAATTGGAATACCTAGAGGTCCATCCCTGAACTGCTAGCAGCCGAGGGGCTCTAAGTAGAGCATTCTCTGAGTTCAGAGAGGAAAAGAGAGACAGACACAGAGAGAGCTCACTGGTAAAAGAAGGGAGGTGGAGACAGAGCAAGCTCTGCAGCAGACGTGCCAGACACAGACGTGCCACTGCCAGAAACAGATTCTCAAGAAACAAGACGAGGGAGTGTGGGGCTCAGGGGTGTTTGCGCGTGACTTTCATCACTCTGTCCTCTCTCCTGCTCACATACCTCACATAGTCTGATAGTGCAGCAGTCCCTCAGTACCCACACTCATGGGAAGAAACACTGGCACGGGCCATCTGAGAATGATCTCTAAGTGACTGTGGACTGGCTGTGGGCTTGTGCTTGAATATGGGCTGTATCTGCCTTTGTGAGAACTCCCCGGCCCCATCCCAACCTCCAAAAACCTTCTCCAGAGGCTCGTGTCTGTCTGCTTCATACCTGACCCAAGGCTTAGAAAATAGGCAGAAGTTGAAGGGAGAGGTGTGTTAGTTCAGAATCCATTACTGACCAGCTTGGAGAAGCTGGGGTGAGTGACACACCTCTAAATGGAGGGGGCATAATCATCCTCCATCCTGTCTCAAAGGAGTGTTGGAAGAAAAATCATAGCTATGAACATGTTCTGAAGTCTCCTTTCCCTGGAAAGTTTTCATCTTTCTCAGTTTTGATCTGAGAGAGCACAGGCCCTTTGCCATTGAGGTGATTCTAATTGGACTTCAAAAAATATTCGCTGTGTATTTCTGTCTCCTCCTCTGGGCCGTGAAACACTTGTGGCAGGGACCATGTCTTGTGGAACCTACTACTCAGGACATTTAGCACAGTGGTCAACACACATTAAGTATTTAACATTCGATGGTGCTGCTGCCGAAAAATCAACATGCTGTACAGGAGATGGAGGACAGAGGGTAAAGCAGAGATGCGCTGAGTCAGAATGGTTGAAACCTACAAAATTCCACTGTGTCCACCTCCCAGGTAGCGGAATGTGGTTCCTTGCTCAGGTAATCAGAAGGGAATTCTCCAGCACAATGTGTGACATGGTTTGAGCATCACCCTGGGTACAGACTAAGCCTGGGGGGCCATGGGAATGGAACGAGAAGGTCTGGGCTCTGGGTGTCCTAGGGTGCCGACTCAGATCCTGGTCATGCACTTCCATCAGACAAGAAGACGTCACCCCCTTGGAGTGAGACTGAGGATAGTAATAGGCTTAAGTCCATCTTGACCCTTGGCTGTGGTGGCTTCTTTGTGACAACCTGGACTAGGAAGCATTGCAAGGTAACCCAAATAGCTTCTGCTGAGTCATGAGAATCACCTCTGCTTAATGCACTTAGCCTCCCCACTTCACCTCTCCCTCCACCCACTCAAGGCTCTGGAGCTGTACTCACACTGTAGTTTCTCCTTCACTTCGGTGCCACACAGGCAAGCAATGCCAGTCTTAAAGGACAATGCCCGCATCTTCCCACTGCGACCACTAGATTGGAAAGAAGAGACTGAGAACATGAATATATGTGAAGGGTTAATTGACATCTTGACAGAGATCTCCCTTGCACAGTTGATCCCAGCAGACCTCTGTGACAACACACCCCACGCTGAACAGAAGCCCAGGCTTCGGTGGGAGCAAGCCCTCCCCACCAAGCCCGCCCACTCCGGATGCCCCAATGTATTTCCTCAGGGAGGTGACCAGCGCTGCCAGCTGGAAGCGCTTACCTGTCAAACACATTGAGGAGCCAGTTGAGGCTCATGTCCACACAGAGTGGCACGTTGACCAGAATGCCCCTTTCCTCCTCCAGCCGTTCATATAAGGCGGTCAGGCAGTGAATGACCTCCACCACGTCCATCACGTGCTCACTGGTCTGCAGGTCATGCTCATTGAAGATCTCCAGGGCTGTGGTTAAAGTTACCAAGTCCACTGGGAAGGAAAGGGAGACGGGGGAAGTCAAAGCCTTAAGTATAACCCCAGATCCTAGATGAAGACACAAGGACATCACTGTCCTCAAAACTAACTCAACCTCCAGACCTATTGTTAGCTTGACACAAGTTTGTCCTTTATGAAAACCCTCATCCTACGGTGAGGGAAGGCAGAAAAAGAGCCCCTAAATGGACCCAAATGTTTCTGTAACCTTCTGCTCTTTGGCACCAGTGTAGGGAGGTGGCAGATGTGAGTGCCTCACCTACTTGCTGCATTAATTCCTAAAGATTCAATTCCCAATTTAATTTTCTCTGTCTCTGCACACTTGGCACTATAGAGAAGTCGGTCTGTGAACCTTGGCCTGAGAACCTGAACACCAGTTGCGAAAGCTGAGATGTGCCTGCGTAAATGTGGCACACCTCAGGAGAACTTTTCAATTACCCCCCAGCGCAGGAATCAGCCCCCTGGACATGTCTGGGCCAGGAGGACTGAATGGGCAGGCTCTCTGGGAAAGAGCAGGAGGCATACTCTGTCAGCGTTTGGGTCAAGCGTTCTGCTGCTACCTCCAAGAGCTCCAAGATGGCACGAGAACACAAACCGCGGTCACTCCAAAGCATGGGCTGGGAGATGTTCTAGCATAGAACAGTTGCTTGACTCTCCGTGTTGGACAGGGAAGAAGGGACAAGGAGGAGGGTTGTGGGTTAATTTGGAAACAAGTCTGGAAAAAGCCGGTGTCCTCATCCAGCACATCCCCAGACTTTGGGGAGTTTCCACCACCCCTATAAGCAACCCTGGCCTAGGGGGAATGAAAATGGGAAACAGCTGACTGATGAGGAATAGGGGGAGTGGGGTGGAGGCCATGAGGGACGGGGGCGAGAGACTTACAGCGCAGTGCCTTCTGGACCCTGCGGAGCTTCATGGCAGTGCGGTAAGCTGAGAATTTAATGTTATTCAGATCAGCTGCAAAGGATGGAAAAAGACCCACTCAGATCAGGGAAATGTAAATTAAAACCACAAGACACCATCTTCCGCCACCAAATAGGCAAAAAGTAAGTCTGACAGTAGCAGTTGTCACACCAAAGATGTGGATGAATGAGAAGTGCTGGTGGAAGTGTGAACTGATAGAATCATTCCAGAAAACAACTTGCTAGTACCTAGTAGAGATGAGTATTCACATATTGTACAGCCCAAGTGGCTATTTATCCTGGAGCAGGGATCTTTTAAAACTTTCTTTATATGATCAGAAGTTCATTTTACATCTTGTACCAGCTTGCAAACACATCTGTGCTTTTAAATAAATAACTGAATCAAATATTGCAGGAAGCAATACCTGACCAGATCTGATAAAGTCAAAGCAAAATTAATATTAGACAGCCCTCTTGCACTCTCCTATTTCTTCGCCGACTTCTAGATTTTTTTTTTATTTTTTTTTAAAGATTTATTTATTTGTGCATACAGAACTGGGGTACAGGCCAGAGGCTCAGGGGTGGTGAGAGGCCTCACTAGAGACAGAGTGGGGAGCAGAACAGGCAGATAGACGAAGTACACTGCTGAGGGGAGCAGCGGGCGGGTCAGGAGAGGTCTGCCGCGCCATGTGGTCACCTCCGGGGCGGGCGGGAATCGAACTCATGCGGAAGCAGCTTTAGATTCTCAGTGCTGTGCTTTAACCCGCTGCGCCACCAGGGGGGCCCGACTTCTAGATTTTTGAGTGTTTATCCCAACACACTGAGATCACAGTCTGACCTGTAGACTGAAAACATGCACACACACACCAGGGGACATGGGCAAGAGCGGTTAACAGCACTCTTATTAACTCCAAAGAGGGATGACCTGAATGTCCATCAACAGGAGAATGAAGAAAGGGGACCCTCCCTGGTGGCGCAACCCATTAAAATGCAGCACTTTGACTATGGTGATGGCACATGGGTGACTCGGTGATGGGAAACCCACGGGGATTACAATTGAGATGGAAAAAAAATGTACAAAATGATGTAAAAATTATTATATTATAAAAAGATTTTTAAAAATCAATTAAAAAATGCAGCACTTTGGGGCCCTCCCTGGTGGCGCAGCGGGTTAAAGCCCAGCACTAAGAAGCTAAAGCCACTTCCGCATGAGTTCGATCCCTTCCTGCCCCGGAGGTGACCACATGGCGTGGCAGACCTCTCCTGACCGGCCCGCTGCGCCCCTCAGCAGTGTACTTCGTCGATCTGCCTGTTCTGCTCCCCACTCTGTCCCTGGTGAATCCTCTCACCCTCCACATCTCTGGCCTGTACCCCAGTTCTATATGAATAAATAAATAAATCTTAAAAAAAAATGCAGCACTTTGAAGCTAGTCACAGCCGCTTCAGCACAAATTCAATCCCGGCCAGGGGTGACGCATGTGGCACCGCAGACCTCTCCTGACTCGCCCGCTGCTCCCCTCAGCAGTGTACTTCATTGATCTGCCTATTCTGCTCCCCACTCTGTCTCTGGTGAATCCTCTCACCCTCCGCATCTCTGACCTGTACCCCAGTTCTGTATGAATAAATAAATCTTTAAAAAAAAACAATTTAAAAAAATGGATGAAGAAGGCATGAATGTTCTGTAACAGTGAAGGTGAATGAACTATACTCACATGCATCAGCATAGGAAAAAAAACTGCAATCTAATGGGGAGTCTCTCTTAATTAAAACTAAGGCACACAAGCGTCACACTCAACCTGGACACACACACTCAGCTTTGACAGAGTCTTTCAAAGACAGAGCTGCTTCACAGCTAGAAGCGTAATTCTCTAATGTTATGGTAAAGTGGTTCAAGGGGGATGTAGAGCTTCCAGTTAAAGGGTGTGCAGAGGGGAGAGGAAGGCAGGCTGCTGAGAAAGGACACTCACTTCTACCCCCACAACACCCCGTTCATAGAATGCGAGTCCCTACTATTGCAGGACACAAGCAGCTGTGTAGTTCTCCACCCTAAGCAGTAACCCCAATTCTTACCTAAGGTTTGGTATAACTCAGTCATCTTGGGGTGGTCCCAGCATGTGGTCTGAGCCTGGTGGCTACAACAAACAAAAGCATCAGTAGCACCAGGGGCCACGCCACCCCCACCACTCCCACTCACATGAGCCCACCAGAGGTCAGTGCAAGAAGCTGCAGGGTCCGAGGGTGAACCCAGAAGTTACCAAGGTATAAATACGGTTCACCTTTAACAAGGTAGAATCTTGAGCTCTTGAGTAGGAGGAAAAACTGGATGGGATGAAGGATCCCAACAAATAAAGAGTGACAGGGACAGGTAGAGAAAGACAGGCGAGGGAGGGGGTGGGCAGGTGACTGACCCGCTTCTGATTCAGGCGATCACTCACTTGATGTAGTAGGGAACTTTATTGGGTGAAATTGCTCTTTCCCAGGGAACCTGGACAGAGGCTGGCAAGGGAGAAAAGAAAGAGAAGCTGATCACTAATGCTTTCAGATGCTGACGACTCCCCTACCTTCTCCTCCCCAAATGGTGGTCATGTCCCAAGGGGATGCCTGACTCTCATTGCCAGCCCTTAACAGCCACCACGGCTGGGGCCAAAACTTCTAAGGAGCTCAATTCCCCACGGATGTTAGGCCAAGGGAGGGAAAGGGACCGTCCTTGAAGCCTGCATGTGCCAGAAGAGTGACAAAGGCACACACAGGAATACTTGGCCTTGGCCTCCCTGACAACCTTCTCCTTGAGCAAGATGCTACTTCTATCCATTCAGCAGCAGGCAGCTGGAGAGCTGCAGTGGATGTGAAATGGACCCTGCTTTCCTCATGGGGGATGGTAGGGAAAGGCCCTGCCCATTTCTATGTGGGGATGAGCTCTGGAGAAGGATGCTTTTCTCTGCCCCAAGTTTTTATCATGCGGCTGGTCTGGGAGAGGCCGGATTACTTAGCCAACCTCCTCATGTCAGGGTCTTGGGTGCAGAAGTCCTCTGTACGTACGCATAGCTGCATGCCAGCAACCTCTATTAGCATGGCTGGAATTCCTACTGTGTGCCAGAGACTGAGCCAAATGTTCCACATCTAATGTGCAAATCTTTAGATTCCCTCATCTCCACAGCCACCTCGCTGGTGTGAGTCAGCACGATGTTTCACCTGGATTATTACAATGTGTTTTCCAACATGTGCGCCTGCTCAGAGTTTTGCACATAACACTGACTCTGTTGAAACATCAGTCAGATCGAGTCATCCTTCTGCTCAAGCCCCCCTGAGGGGTCTTCATTCCAAATGAAAGCAGTTTCCCACACAGAGCCTGCTCCTTCCCCTCTCTGTTCTCTTCCACCTCAGCCTCCTTGCTGTTTCTCATGCCTGCTTCTGCCTTCAATTTCTGGAAGTTGCTGGGCCCGCTACTTGGGATGCTTTTCCCTCAGATACACACACAGTTCACTTCCTCACTGCCTGGAGATTTCTCAGTCGCCATGCTCTCAGGGAGGGCTTTCCTGACCTACTATTCAAAATTGTAATATCTTCCCCCATAAATCCAGCCCTTCCTATTTATGCTTTCTTTTGTTCACAGCACCCAGTGCCAGTTGACCTTAGATATGTTTTACTTACTTGTTATGGTCTGGCTTCCCCTAGTACAATGTAAGTGTTACAAGTCTAAGGACTTCTGTGTTTTGTCCACTAAGGTAGCCCCAGTGCCTAGAAGAGTACCTGGCCTACCATAGGCCCTATTATTGAAAAAACTGGTCATTTACTCCCATAACCCCATGCGCTGGTTATTTTCTTCCCTTTTTACATATGGGAAAACTGAGGCTCAGAAGTGCTAAGCTATTTTTGTCAAGCATGCCTAACTATTGAGGAGTGGCGACTCGAATCCAGGAGTCTCTGACTTGAGAGTCTGTCCTTTCAACCACAATGCTACACTGCTTTGTCCTCACAATGGATGACCAGCAGGTCCCCAGGGGACAGCAGCAGACTTTCTTGGGAGGAAGGTAGTTGAGGTTCTGCTAAGTGAAATTGCTTGTGTCACATACAGGAAAGGAAGTGCTGTGACCCAGGCCCAAAGTCCCGGTGGGCATCCTGGAGCTGCTTGAGCCTCTCGCCAACTGACACCTATGGAAAGAACGAGAAATCAATGGACTCTTTCTATATACTTAGTGTGACATATCCAGGCACCTCCGTTTTCTCTCTACCTGTAGCTGTTTCCACCGGATGTTGATTTGTTCCAAAGCCCGGGAATTCTCCATTGACAGGTGTACATCAGAAATGGCAAGTTGATGGGCCAGATCATTCACCGACTTCACACCATCTTTTATGGGGGCAAAGTCTTCTTTGAATAGCTGCGGAACCAGAACCCAAGGACCACAGTGGACAGAGTGGGCAAGAGGAACCATAAGTCACTCACCTCAATGCCTCCCTTTACCCAAATATTTCATTCCAACAGTACAGCCTACAAGCTTGCCTATGAGAGTAACCAGACTAAGACACGGGGACACTGTCCTTGTCATCTTCCTTTCCTACTGTCAGAAAACACCAGACAGTGCAACAACACTTCAGCTGCCTTCCAAATAAATCCAGCATGCAGTATGGGAGAGGCTGGTTATCCTCCAGGCCAACGACAGACTGTCAGCACGGGGAGCATTGTCAGAGTCTGGGAGGAGTGTCAGACCTCAGGGCAGACTGTAGCCAGCTGAGGGGAAGATCTACATACCTTAAGAGCCTGAATGTGCTCAGGAAGTGAGTCAATGAAGAGGTCTCCAATGGGCTCCCAGGTGCCTCGAACTCCCTCCGCCTGGGTCAGAGTAGTGCTTAATTCTTCCATCGCCCCCTGGATCTCCAACAACTGCTCCAGAGTGCGCTCAATATGGCGGTGCTGGTCCACACAGCGGGCTGTCAACTTTTCCCATAGTTCACTGGCCACAGTTGCCTGCTTCCATACAAAGCGGCTAAGATTCTGGATCCGCTGTCTGGGAGAGGTATCTGCAGGGGCAAGCGAGAGGTCAGGTCAGCTGAACAAGCAGGGGCCACTGGAGGAAAGACAGACAAAGAGGGTCATCTGTAAAATGTAGGTGTGCCCGTGTGCACTCATTTTGTATATATTAATAGACACACACACATATATATGTATGTGTGTCTGTATTAATATATATCTTCCCATGGTTATGTTCCTTTTGTATATTCAGGGTGTTTTAGATGAAGCACTTTATTTGGAAATCATTGTAGATTCACATGCACTGCTATAATGCAATATCACAACCGGTATAGTGACATTGATACATTCCGCCAATTTTGTTTAAAGTTGCTCACTTTTACGTATACTCATGCGTGTATTAAGTTCTATGCGATTTATCACACGTGTAGGTTTAAGAATCTACCACCAAAGTCAAGAGAGTATATCGTTGCTTTTCATTTATTATATTGTCAGAATTTCCTCTTTAAAATATTATTAATATATTCCTTACACCATCCTTCATTTTTGTACAATGTGTGGTTTCCCCGTGAATCCCCACTACCAGTTCCCCCGTGCACCATCACCAAAGTCCCTTGTGTTCTCCCCACCCTGTCCTGGTCCTTCTCCTTCCTCCTCCTCTACAGAATGTCTCTGATCTATAGTTGCCTGATGATTTTGATTTTTACTTTATTATAGCTACTCCCCCCCATTCCTTTTTTTTTAAAGATTTAATTATTCATACAGAACTGGGGTACAGGCCAGAGATGCGGAGGGTGAGAGGCTTCACCAGGGACAGAGTGGGGAGCAGAACAGGCAGATAGACAAAGTACACTGCTGAGGGGAGCAGTGGGTGGGTCAGGAGAGGTCTGCCTCTCCATGTGGATCTCCTCGGGGCAGGCAGGGATCAACTCATGCGGAATTGGCCCAAGCTTCTCAGTGCAGTGCTTTAACCCACTGCGCCACCAGGGAGGGCCCCCCCATTCCTTTTTTGTTTTCTGCCTTTCCCCTCCTCAAACTACTAAAAATGGAGCTTCCATATGATCCAGCAATTCCACTCCTAGGATTTCCTCTTTTTTAAAAAAGAAAATGGGCAAAGTAAATAGTGAGCAAAATATTTTGAGATGTCCTGAGGCAACTCATCCGGGGTCCTATTCATGCTACCCCGGAATGTGATATTTGCAGTCGTGTCTGCTGCCCACTTCCATCCAAAGAAGTGAGGCATTTTCGTGAAGGCCCATCCCTGAAAAGGTTTGTATAACTAGCCCAGATTTCCAGTCTAGGCTACCCTCAGAAATAGATTCAGAGCCTGAAAGCCTCAGGCTAATTAGAATTATCTTGCTCTTTCTTGAGCTTGCACCGCTGGAGGAGGCACAGTAAATTGGGTTGGGCAGTAAATTGAGTGCTAGCTCTCCTACTGAGCCGGTCAACAGCACTGATGAAAGACTCAATGAGCTAAGGGTCCTTGGAGGCTATTTGCTGCCAGGCTCGGAGGATTGAGGATTCTTTCTGGAGAATGGGACTTGTTGGATCACCACACACCTAATTACCATGGATCTCACCCTGTTGCCATATTTGAACCAAGGCTCGGAGTGACCCTTTCTCCCAAGAGAAGGGGCCAGAAGTCACTAGGGTCAGTATCAAAGTCACAATTAATTTTCCTCTCAGATGTCATCACTAACATTTTGGATTTTGAAAAGGTTTTTTATTTGGTGGTGGATGAGAACATCATCCTCAGTCCTATCATTTATGTTGGGATTGAGGCAGTATGTTTGCAAAGGACATACTATTGCTTTTATTCCCTGGGTCAGTTCATGACATTTGTGTCTGGTTTTCCTTTTCCATGCTCATTTAGAAGGGTTACATGATGAGTCGCATAGAGTTTTGGGTCACAGACTTAGATGTCCTTCTGCTCCAAGCTCTCTTCTTTCTGCTTTGTCTTGCAATATGAATCTTGTCCCTCCTAACTTAGGCTCCTACGAGATAACTGTCCTCCCAGATGACAGCTGATGAAACAAGTTTGAGGAGGGCAAGAAGGTATTTGGCAGTTCATAGCTCCAGAAGGGGGGAGAGGGGAAGAACACCCACCTTTGCTCTCAGAATGAGGTTCCTCTAACTCTTCAAACGGGTGCTGGGACAGGAAGACCTGAGCTGACTCCAGAACAGAGTAGATGTAGGGGCCCCGAGACTTGACGTCCTCCATAAAGGCCTGCAAAGTTAGCAACGTGGTTAAGAGGGACGGAAAGTCTTTCAATTTCTTTGACGTTCATCCTGCAGTTGATAACCTTTATTCTCCCCAGTGCAACTTGATCCTTTAACATTATCACTTATCTTTGACAACCCAGGCAAAAGGAGGTGCAGTCCTTCCTAGAAATGGAAGAACAACTCTGATACTGGATGGTCTATTTGTCTGTCTACTCCCAGACAGAGTAGAAAGAAATCCAGATATTTAGGGCTGGGAATCTGGGTTTCTCCGGAAGATTCAAGAAGTCCCCTGGAAGGGGCTTAGAGGACTCAAAATCAGTATGAAGAAGATTCAGATACAATATTTATTTGTTTTTTTTTTAGATAGACACAAACTATATACATCAAAAATGCACAGCTCAGTATATTTCCATAAAGTGATTCCATCTCTTTAATCAATTCTGAAATCAATAAATAGACCACTGGCCTACCAGAAAGGCCCTCTCATGCCCTCTCCGGCCACCAACTCATCTTTCCCTCCCTCCCCCAGGCAACCACTATCTCGATCTGTAATACCATTCATTCGTTGTTTGTCTATTTTTGTATTTTATATAAATGGAATCATACAATATGGATTCATTTATGTCTTGCTTTTTTTTCACTAGGATTCATCTTTGCTGTGGATGAATAAAGTAAACCTTTGTGGTTTATTTTCTTGCCATATTGCATTACACTGTATTTATTTTTATTATGATATAAATGATATATAACCAGTGTCTTAGTTTGAGGTGTACAACATACTGACTTCATCCATTTACATTGCAATATGATTGCCATCACAGCATTAGCCAACACTCTGTTAGGTCATGTACTCGTCATTTCTTCTAGTGCATTCGGCATTCTTTTTTAAAAGTTGTTTTTTGATATCAAGGTAAAATATGTCATAGAAATCTTAGACATAATGATGCACACCTGAAACTTCCCAATGCTATAATGTAATTTTATTTTGATCAGGAAAATGAAAAAAAAATTTACCATTTATAGATAAAAAATGACATTTCATAAAACTGTGAAGAAAAAAATTAAAAGTACCTAATTTCATCACCTAGAATTAACCACTTTGAACATACTTGCACACACACACACACACACACACATATATGTATCTATCTAGATTTTTATACAGCTGGATTCACCTGTGTGTAGTTTAGTTTCCTAAGTTGTTGGCTGATTTTTTTTTAACTTAACTTGATATCGTGTTCTTATCCCCTTGTGTCCATTCAAAATCAGGGCAAGTTTTTAAGGAATAGCTAAGAGCTGAATTGGAGGGTTAGGAGGGAAAGATTTATCCTACTCAGTGCGTGCTAGCTACAGGCCACAGGCCACAGGGACTGCATCAGCCTCGGCCCACTGCGGGAGTCTAGGGGAGACCGGGTGCCTGTGTGTCAGAGAGCTGCACAGAGGCTTTTCCCGGCTGAGAGACAACATACATGGCCTCCATAACTGTAACCTACCGCGTGGGTCTCTTTCTCCTGTTGCACAAGGGCCACATCTCCTTGTAGGGGCAGCTGAGCTGACAATTCCTCATCCTTTTGGCTGAGCCAGTCAATGATCTCTTGGAGAGGGAGCTGAAGTTTTCCGCTGTGGTCTGAGAAGGCCTCCAGGCGAGCACTGCACACAGTGGATAAAAGCAATGATTGTCAATCTTCTTTTTATTATTATTTACTTTTAAGGCTTTATTTATTTATGCATACAGAACTGGGGTACAGGCCAGATGTGCAGGGGCAGTGAGAGGATTCACCAGAGACAGAGTGGGGAGCAGAACAGGCAGACTGACGAAGTACACTGTTGAAGGGAGCAACAGGCGGTCAGGAGAGGTCTGCCGTGCCATTTGGGTCACCTCTGGGGCCGGGGTTCAAACTCGCACAGAAGCAGCTGCAACTCACTTGCAGTGCTGAGTCTTAATGCACTGTGCCATCAGGTCAAGCCTCAAGCTTCTTTTTAAGTGGCGAAATGTCTTTTCCAGACTAATATTTATGTGGGGCCTTAACATATGAACCGATTCAGGAAGACTTGCTGTGGTGGAGGCAGAAAAAGCTCTTTCCTTACCCACCCACAGAAGCTTCAGAAGCACCTCCGCAAGGAGTTCAGGACTAATACCTACTGTGGTCATCAGTTAATTCTGTTATCAGACTGAGAAGGACAGGACACTGAGCAATGATATTTGCAGTCATCATTGTCTGGTTGCTTCCTTGACCGGAGGAACTCAAGTCTTGACAAACTTGCTCTCCATAGAGACTTCGAGTCTGCCCTCTGAACAGGAGAGGATGAGGCCAGAGGAAAGTTGAAAGTGGAGTGGGCATGGGCACACACTTGTGGGAGGGCCGTACCGATACAAGCAGCCCAAGGGCCCCTGAGGAGAGTAGCAGCCCAGGCGAAAGCTCTGTCATATGGCTCTATACTCATCTGACTACCTCTTCCCACAAATATAGCAGGAGCCAAGGTCCAAGTAGTAGGAACCTGGAGGCCAGCTTAAGCTGTGTGCAGCCCTGGAGCTGAGGGAAAAAGCATTCTTTGATTCCCTCCAACCTGGGCCAAGCTCTTTACCTAAATTATTGCTCTCACTAACTCTCAGAGCAGCCTTATAAGTAAGCATGGCCATTGCTCAAGAAGGTGAAGTAATCTGCCCAAGGTCACACAGCTTATTTGCTGATAGAACTCGGGGTGGTCTGACTGCACAGCCTGAGATCATTTTTTTTTCCAGCAGAAGCCAGGAGTTTGGGTTTTGTTGAGAGGGAGTGGAAGAGCAAAGACTATGTATGTGGGAATAGGTTTGTGTGAGGGACTGGGGGTGGCTACACAGAGTGGTAGAGAGAAGAGGAACAACTGGCATATCAGGCTCGTACTAATTTGCCTTAGTTAGGGAGGAATGGGTGGGCTGACAGCCAGTGGATGGGATTAAGAGAGCTTGAAAGGACAGGAAAGTGAGCAGATGAGACCTGCCAAGATGGAGAACAGAAGAGTAGGAGGAGGGAGAGACCCTAGCGGTCATTTATACTTCAGGGATTTTAAGTTCAGAAGCGTTTTCATATCTTATGTGAATCCTCACACAACACAGTGAGATAGCCAGGACAGGTATCATTCCTCCACTTACTTTTTTTTTCTTGAAACAAAACAAAACACACAAAAAAGTGGAAGTTAAAATTACGAAAACTTTTATAAGGTGACACAGCTACTTAAAACTAAGGCTCAACTCCAAGTCTCCTGACTTCTGACTCAGGGTTCTTTCACCGGAGCCAGACAAGGAGAGGGAGGCCACGGGTGACACAAAGTTGGAGAGAGTGACACGTTGCAGCAGCAATAACAGGAGCCCAACACCAGCCAAGTCCTGTTGCTGGGGGTCAAGCCTTACCGGAGGTTGTGAGACTTCTTTTTTATTTCATTCCAACACAGATTCATGACTGAAGGTTCCAGGGGTCCGGCGGCACCAAGAGACCCGTTGAATAGCTTTGGGCTTAGGCAGGAAGCCCCAGCACCATCTTGAGGGGGTGTAGGGGCAGCTGCAGCAGCTCTAACCTGGACAGAAACACAGACATCCTGCGACCCTGGGAGCACATCGGGGTCTGCTCCAAGCTGAGGGCGCACAAGGGGAGAGAAGGGCTTGGCCCAGGGTGTGCTTGGGGGTGAAGTTTGAGGGAGAAAAAGGGAAACTCCATGGAAGACTGTTCATTACCAGCCCCTCTCTTGGTCTAGGTTGGTCACATATAACAGCTGAGTACTATCATTCTTATTACTGTAAATTCTGCCAGGATAACTGCCCAGATGAAATCCTGGAGGTACTTGTGCTAGGGAAGAGCTGTTAAGAATTGCCCAAACAATGGTTACCATGGCCATATAGTCCAAACATATTTAACGTGAGCGGTAGGGCCTTATTCCAGGGTTCCGCAGTTGACTCAACATTTTAAAAAGAAAGGGCTGACATGTAAAAATGAAAAGACAAGAAGAGGAAAGGAAAGAAATGAGACTCTCCCATAAAGACTCCACAAAAGAATAGACCAGCTGGAGAGAGCTATTAGTAGGCAATGTTCTTCTTTCCAAATGAATTTGGGTTTTGAAGTCCCTTCACCCTCCTTTCCACCCGAATTTCCCATCAGAGTCAAGAAAAAAAGCCTGGAAAAAATCCTATGGAGTACTGCTGGTCTTCCATGGGCCGAGAAAAAGTTAAAGCTTTCCATCCCAATCTTCAAAGCACTCTGAACAGAGTTCGTAGCTATGACAAACCAACCATGGAAAATCTCATCTGGTTCAGAACCCGTCACTTGTCACCCTGTGGGGAGAGTTGTGGGGTTTGTGGAATGGCCGTTGTGCCAATAGCCCTGAGGAAATTAGCTACCTCCAGCACAATGTCAGGACTGCCCAGCCAGGGCAAACACAGTGGAGGCTGAAATCTCTGTCTATGCCCATTCACCTCAGCCGATGGAAAAGCAACCTCGGCCTGCTTGTCTACCCATTTGCCTTTTGTGGAAATAACATGGTACTGCTAGGAACTGAGACTCCTCTAGTGTCTCTGTCTTTCAACCAAGACTCTCCAGGCAATGCGGGACATCAGTCATCCTGTGAAAACCAAAACTTGCAGCCTCACACTGAAAGAGAAATGAAGCAACAGCCAGGCGCTGGAGGCAAAGCTCTGACCTCAGTAACCCGGTGTCGCCATGAGTGAACCCTACCTGTACTGCCTGGGGACTCTGTGGCAGGACTGGGCAGCTCCATGGTATCCCTCAGCACCAATCTGGACCCAGTGCCTGGCAAGTCCCAGGCAGAGTCCTGATAGTCTCTGAGCAGACTCCCTCAGGCAGAGCAGGAAGGGTTGAGCCAGGCCAGGAGGCGGGAGCTATCACCCTGTTTGTTTACTGACTCCCCAGGAATCTGGAGGGGGCGGCAATGTCAGGGCTCAACGGGTGAATCAGAGCTTTGTCCCTGGGGAATTCTGGCTTGTTCCCAACTGGGCCCGCCACACGGGGGCCAGGAGGGCCCTCCCGGGCTGGCAAGGATGGCAAGAGTAGGACTGGGCATTCCATGGTGCTGAGGAGGGGTGTGCAGAGGGGAGCTTCTTGTTGATTTATTTCCCCGTCCATGGAAGATATAAGGGGCTCACTTTGCCTCCAGGCCGCCCCTCCCCTGAGGTGGAGGACAGGATCAGACTACTTCAGTGACAAACCTATTGTTAGCCAGGAGGATGGACTTGGATAAACAAGCCTTGTCTTCTGCTACTTAGTGTCCTCAGATGTTGTGAGGAATATGTGTGATGCACCCAGGGACAGAGAGCCATGGGATCGTGGGATAAGGAATTGTGGGCCTCAGAAGATTCATCCAAGCCCAATGTGAAAATGGGGGGTGCTCTGCCTTGCTTGATGGGGGCATATTGTTCTTCCTCCCATCAAACTCTTGCTGTTTCCTGAGGCCAGAGGGAAATGGAGTCTGTGGACACCCTTTGGACTTTTGCAGGGAAGGACAGAGCAACATGTAACTAAGAAGTTCCATGAAGGGATCCAGTGCCAGAGAAGCTCCTGGGCCCTGTGGGTACTGCCCGGGGCCACCTGAAGGGCAGGGTGCTTTCTGGAAATAGCCACTCTTCTTCTCCAGCAGACTTGCCTGGGGAAAGGTTAACATTCCGAGATGGGCCCCCACCCCTCAGCACTGAGCGAAAACACTTCATTTTTACCAGAAAGTGTTCTGTTCCCATCCTCATTTATCTCCCACAGAGTCTTCTGGGCTATCCACAGTTCCACATTGTTTCCATGCTGAGGCCCACCTACAGGAATACTTGGAGCAGCTGCCTGACCCCTTCTGGGTGTCTGGGATAGAGCCAGCTGGGGTGGAAGGAGGATGGCAGGCCAAGAGCAAGAGCCAGGAGCGGCTCTAGCGCAGGGCCACAGCTTCGCTGATGCTGGGATAATTGGGCTGAAGCCAGTCTCACAGAGTCCCAGCACTTGGAATGGCCCCAGTTAGAAATGGCTCCTGGTGCCCCAGTCACAGCCAAGTCGTCCTGGTTCTGCGGGAAGCACCCACACTGAGCTGGGCTCCACCAAGCTAGCCTGCCATTCTCTCCAGTCTTCTTACTTTCCTAACCCCCCCACATGGTCCCTTTACTGTGTTCCCTGTTCACCCTGCTCTTCCTCTCCTGGCTCCCCCTTAAACTCACAAGCATCCCCCTAGTGTAGCCGGGCACACATGGTAGGCAAATACTGAATATTAATTGTTTCCTTTCCTTATCACTACTCTATTTCTGGCTGTTGCGGCCAAGGACTCTCACCCCTCTCACTCCCCACAGGACTTTCTCCCTATCTCTTGAACTTTTAAGGCAAGTCAAGGCCAAAAGATTCCCAGCAGTGCAGGCCTAATGGAGCCTCAGAAGCTTGCTCCACCACTCTCTGCAGGTTGCATTCCTCTCTGCATGAGCCTGGCTCTCTGGCGTGCCCAGTCCCTCAGGCCACTGCTCTGACACCAGGAAGTGCCTGAGGACTTGGAGGCCACTGACATGGGAGTTAATTCCAAAGCTAAGAGTCAAGTGACTATCAGGTGGGCATTTTTTAGAAGAAATTCGAATTAGAGTCACAAACCAGGGCTACACAAATAACTAAGAAAGCTCAGAACACCAAGAACCTGCTCAACCATCAAATCAACAAGCATCAACAAACAACTCGAAGCTGCTGCTTTTGTGAAACAGACAGAAATGCAGCTCCAAAGTGTCCTCCCACCCCAGAGTGTATCTCCATGAAGAGACCATCCGCCAAGCTTTGTCTGATGCTTGTTTAGCAAGATTGGGGACAGTGAGAATGAAGGTTGGAAGGCTCCTTAGCTCTGCAGTGAAATATAGAAATATCTGGCAACGCCTTTGCCCTTTTGGTTATCTGAGCAGCACCATGGCACTGGCAAAAACAAACACTTCCTCAACGGTGGCAGAAAGGGAGCCAAGAAGAAAATGGCCCATCAGTTTTCTAAGACATTTTGGTAGGGCGTGAAAGGCCAGCCATGTTCAATGTAAGAAAAACACTAGTAGCAGGAAGTGAAGGAAACAATATTCCATCCAGTGGCGCCAAGGTTTGTGTTTTTGAGGTGAGCCTTGCTGATCTTCAGAATGAAGGAGCTGCATTTAGAAAATCTGAACTAGTCACTGAGAATGTTCAGGGCCAAAACTGCCTGACTAACTGACAGAAAATTTGCTCCATGCTCAAAAATTGGCAGACCGTGATGGAAAGTCATGTTGATGTGGACACTGTCAACAGTTATTTGTTTCAGTCATTCTGCACTGGTTTTACAAAAGAACAATGCAACGATGCGATGCAGAAAACTTTTTATGCTCAGCACCCATAGTTCCAACAAATCCAGAAAAAGATGATGGAAATTGTGACCCAAAGAATGCAGGTGAATGACTTAAAAGAGGTGGTCAAAAAACTGATTCCACACAGCACTGGGAAAGACATAGAAACGGGCTGCCAATCTACTTACCCTCTCCATGATGTCTAGAAAAGTAAAAATGCTGAAAAAGCCCAGGTTTGAATTGGGAAAATGCATGGAGCTTCCTCGTGGAGGCGGTAGTTCTAGAAAAGTTACTGGAGATGAGACAGGTGCTAAAGTTGAAAAAAGTGATGAGCAGCCAGTTCAAGAATCTGCTTCAAATTCAGACAGTTAATGGTGACAAAGTCTTATTTGTGAAAAAAGAGAAAAGGTATCTTCCAGTATCTAAGGCAACTTGATAAGCAACCCATAAACCCACAATTCTTAAACAGAAGTGGTACAAATTCACACACACGTGCCGTGTTGGTGGGTTGGCCGGTGCACTCTAGGTTAGGCTGCTGCAGGAAACTATACAGGGGTACCATCAGAATGGCTCCATTTTTACAGTTTCAGTCAGTCTCTAGGAAGATGCTTCAGTGGGTTGGGATTACAACTCTGCTCTTGGCTTCAAGTATAAGGAGACATTTTCACCAAAATATTGAAGACTTTGATTACAACACAGACGCTCTGAACTAGCTCCCAAATCCAAAAAACGGAAACCACTTGTGAAACAAGTGAAATTTGAATTGGGCCCATCTTTGCCACTCCATGTCTTATGGCGCATTGAAAGTCAGAGGGTGATGTCAAGCAGCATACTTTAGCCAAATATTTGATGGAGCTGACACTCATTGACTGTAACCTGATACATTATCCCTTCTAAGGTGGCAGCAGCTGCTGCCTGTTCCAGAAGGTTCTAGGCCAAGGAAAATGGAACACGAGACAGCAGTATTATACTGAGTGCATGGAGAATGAAGCGTTAGGAGTCATGTAGCACATGGCCAATAATGTAGTGAAATGAAAACAAGAAAATTCATTGCCATCAAGAATAAAGATCCAAGTGACAAACACTTGATGCTCAGCACAATCTCTCAGCTGAATTAAAGCCATCCAAGAGCTAGTCTGACCTCTGATGGGACAGTCCTAGGATGCTATGGCCCTTGGGGTGGGGTGGGGGGCAGTTCTTTGCCCATGCACTTTGTCTTGCTGCTCTGTCAATCCTAACTCTGTATATAGTCCTCTGGTCTATTGCATGAGATCCTTTCTAAGCTCTATTATCTAAATGTATGTTGAAGAAAAATAAAGCTATTGATTTTTTTAAGGTTAAAAAAGGGTCATAATCATAAGAAAAGAAGAGAAGAAACTGGGAAGTGGCAGAGAACAGGGGTTGGTCTCACCATTCTTAATCATAAAACAAAACCCTCGGATCCCCCAGCCTAGGTGGTAAAGCTTGGAGGGGGTGGATGACGAGTAGGGCAAACCTTTTGGAAGGGCTGAGGTTTCTTGATCCCTTGACCCTATGAAAGCTCCACTCTGGGGAAGGGGTATGTACACTGGAGAACTCAGAGTTGACTCTGGCCTTGAGAAAGGCAGCCATTTCTCTCCAGTCAGATGCCGGGAAATAGCCCAAGATGATCTGGTTTTTGTGTCTCTCTAGACCTTTACTATGTTGGATTGCTCGCTCTGAAATGTGCTCACTAACACCCATATTTTCCAACCCCATCATCGTTTTCCTTCTTTCCTCTTCCCTGTCTATTCAGCTGCTGCTTGAACCCCCAGCAGTGACTCAGCACTGCATGCCATCGATGAGACACTAAGAGGCATTGTACTTTCTCAGCTCAGTGGTTTCTGGACCCCAAAGCATTGTAGGGTACATCAAATATGCTTATGTTTCTCCCTTGTGTCCTTGTCTGTTCTGAACTTGCTGTGGACCTTCCTTGTTGTCAGGAAAGGAAGCTGCCCTCTCAGGACTACTGTTTCTCACATTCTCTGCCCACCTACCCACATACACAGGAAGATACACCACCAGCACTCCACTCCTAGGGGAGGAGAAAGGAACGAGAGGCAAGCATGAAGCCCAGGAGATTCTCAGTGATGTTGAGCCGGGAGCTATGGGACCAGGGACTTGAAACACTGATGGAAGGCGAGAGGTACCTGCAGAATACGATTTGCACAGTGGAGAAGCCAAGGCAAAGGGAGAATTTTCCTTGTCCTAGGCTGTGCCCTGAAGGATCACAATTGTCCAGGACCTGCTCTGGGAGATTAATGTGGAACGACTTCCGTCCAGTCATGGTGGGCCCATTGGCTTGCCCGACTCAACATTCTTCCTTGCACTATGCTTCCCATAAAAGCTTTCCTGATGGTGATGGCACATGGGTGATTTGGTGATGGGAAGCCCACGGGATTTGCAACTGTGATGAAAAAATGCACAAAATGATGTAAAAATTATTATACTATTGAAAAAAAAAAAAGCTTTCATGAGTGATAGGGATGGGCCAGACGGAGGTCCTGTGCTACTCAAAGGGCTTCATGTAGATAGAGGGTGCTCTTGAGTCTTCAGAAGCATAGACACCCACAAGAATACACACAGATCCCGTGGCCACCCCTTTCTCCACAGGTCTTCCTTTTACTATTGGCCTCTTACCTGAGGCTGGGGACAGGCGCTTCGGAAGCTGCTGCTGTGATGGAACTGGTCAGCTGCCCGCCACTCATGACATCGTGGGAGGGTGTAAGGGCATCCCTGCATGACCATAGGTTGCATCAGAACCAAGGCTCATGGGGGATGAGGATGGGCCGTGCACCGACCTTGAGCATAAGCACCTGGAGGAGAAATTTAGAGTCAAGACCTATAAAGACCTATGAATCCAGCACTTACCTAGAGGCACCTTGACTGGTGAGGTAAATAAATATTCCAATCACGATGACCTGCCTGATAGTTTCTCCCAGGCCACCATGTCCCATAAAGACTTTAATTATTGATCAAATGTACCTATCGCTTGCCTATTGTGCTTTGTGCTAGAGACACAAGAATGATTTGCTGTCTCAGATCTCACAGCCAGGGGGATGGGGTGCGGGAGAAGGAGGAGAGGAGCAGTTATGCAAGATGCTAATTTTAATAAAATGCTTATGTGGCAAATGCTATCTCCGAGATTTAACCAGAAATCTAGGGGAGCACAGTATGGGGAACAACTACCTCTACCTAAGAGTGTGCAAATATTTTAGAAACTGCACTTGAGGTGTGCCCTGAAGGATGAACAGATGTTTTCCTATGCCGTGAAGGGGGGCTGAGGGGCTGGCATTCCCAGGAGAGATTCACCTCTGCAAAGCGGTAGGTTGGGGGGGAGGTCACAGAAAAGCATAGTATGTTCAGAGAACAGTAAATTCAGTGTTGCTAGAGGTTAAGAGGCAGGGAAATGAAAGACAGTCCCAAGAAGTCCCTATACAGAGAACACAGACATATAGAGTGTTATTTGCATTAATAATAGAAGTAGTCAGGGCCCTCCCTGGTGGTGCAATGGGTTGAAGCACAGCATATGAAACTGTCTTCAGCCAATGAGCATGAGTTCAATCCCCAGCCCTGGAGCTGACCCACATGGCACAGTAGACCTCTCCTGTCATGCCCACTGCTCCTCTCAACAGTATATTTCAGTCACTCTGCCTGTTCTGCTCCCCACTCTACCTCTAGTGAGTCCTCTCACCCATGAACCTATGGCCTGTACCCCAGTTCTGTATGCATAAAGAAATAAATCTTGTAAAATAATAATAGAAGTATTTAATGGGTGGAGCAAAGGGACAGATGAGGTGAGTTCAACCTGGTCATGTCAGGAAACACCTCCCAGAGTAGGTGTGCTGTAGGTGAGTCACGAAAAAAGAAATAGGACTGCTGGGCCCTCCCTGTTGGCACAGCAGGTTAAAGCACAGCACTGAGAAGCTAAAGCCACTTCAGCATGAGTTCGATCCGTGATCTGGAAGTGACCCACATGGCA